GGAGTTATGTTACGAACGATATCACAAAGTCAATATACCCAGAATTCCCATTTTAGCAAAAGTCGAGTGTGATTGACGTCGGGCTGCTCGCTTAGCGGCTTATCGTGGAGGGACTATAGCAAAAGGGATTAAGTCGAGTTCCTTTCAATGGCAAAAGCTCTCGAAATTCCGCAATCGACGATTGAATTCAATGTCAAGTGCAGCATTTTGTTGGCTTGGGCCTCTCACTTAGCTCTTATCTAGAAGAATCGATTTCTTTGCTAACTCAGCGAAGGAATCGCTTGAAATGTGAATATGGCAAAAGATACTTTTAACCTTAACTTGAGTTCAGATTTGGGTTCATGTTTGAAAACCAGTTAATTCACCTGTGTGCGATTATGCGCACCTGAATAGGAAGCGAGCTGAATATCATTTTTGTTGCAAATACTTCAGTTGAAGATAAGCTGCAATCACTTCATACGCTTTATAGATAGTGTACATATTATATATACTTTAAATATACTATGCAGATATATATATATTATATATAATAATCTTATATAAAATCTCGAGTGTGTTTACTTTGCTTTCATGTCCTTGAATTGTTATTTTGCTTTCCACTTCACATTTTGCAATTCTTGAACCTTGTTTCGGATCTCGTGTATCTCGTCTATATCTAAGGCTAATTAGTTTATTCGAACAATCAACTCACTATTCAAATGACGTCCTTGAACCGAAGCATTTCGCGTGTTTTGCAGTTAATTAAAACGTGCCTCTTGGACCCATTTTTTGGAACGAGTTTTTTCTACTTCGAGTTCTTCTAACTCGAAATTCTGTCAGAGTTTTGTTTTCTTCTTCTTCTTCTGTTGCTTTTCGATTTCAGTTTAAGCCAGTTGAACTATTGGTCATGCGTAAAAAGACGTCACAGCTGTTAAGCCATTCACAAATTCAGTTAGCACTGCCAATTGCTGGAACGAAATGCCACGAAAAAATTAAATAAAATATACTCTAATAAATATATGATCCGAATTAACACTATACGTTTTATATTGTTAGCAAATTGACAAAAAAAAAAAAAAAAAAACAACACGTTTTGTTGTTGAATGTCTTTCTCTTTGTGATTTAGCTGAAAGATTCAATTAGTCGGACGCCTAATGAAATTTTAATGCACATTCGTTGACCAGCTGAAACGAGTATATTAGCACTGGGGAATGCCTGTTTGGCTGCCTTACTTGTATAGTACATAGTTTTTAATACTTCTAAAATCTTGAAATTATATATATATACATATATGTATATTTACATAATTATCAAAGTTCTATACCCTGGGGGTACAACTGTATCTAGCACAGCTTGAAAACTGGAATTATCTAAAATTAACAACTAATTATTTATGTACGCCCCTTGGGGGCCTGGCAACTTGACGAAACACAAAAGTAATATAATCAATAGTTTGAGCTAGGAACTTAGATCATTGTCGAGCTACTCAACTTACGTAGACCTATCAACTATATGGTAGGTTGAAAAGTAAACTTAGATGTTTTCAACGAGAGAAAAGGTATTAAGTAGTCGTTCTTAATGGGTTTCAAATGTACTTTAATCTAATCTCTCGCTATATACATGTCATACTACCTCTGTCTATAGTATATAGAATATATATAAAAGTCAGCTCTAGTTCAGTTCTAGTCTACACCAGGTCCATCTATCTATATATACAGATGAAATGATCTCACTATAATTGCGAACAATATGAATTGCCAAATTAATTATGAGTTAACCAGAATTCCAGGCGGAATTAGTTGCCAATGTTTATATTACCTGATTTGCCGCGGAATCGGAAGTATTGTTCATGTATCTATATGAGTCTACGATAACTATTTGACAATGCTAAACACGTGCCACCTGGCGTCAATTTGTCATCGTTTATTGAAAAGTCCATTACACTCGTTTAAATATTTATTTAGTCGAAATAATGTGACGACCTTAGTTGTTTTTGGGTGTATTTTATGGTAGTCATATATATTATTGTTATTCAAATTGTAAGAGTCGAAGTCAGAGCCGGAGTGGGAGTGGGAGTGGGAGGGGGAGTCTCAAGGCAACGCTAGGCTTCCTGAGCGAGCTAATACCAACTAGAATTGTCTATAGCCATAACATATCTATATAATCCGATTCATAATTAGATAAGTGCATATGGTAAAAGTCAAAGCGTGAACCAGATATCGAATCAGAGCTCACGATTTCTCAGTTGTGACGTGTGTTCCTTGTATTATGTGAAAAATTGAATGCATTAAACTTTAATTAAACTTTTGATGCCATTTACTAGAGACAATGATATAGCAGTCTATCTCCCTCTTTCTCTGACTCTCTCCCTCTCCCCTAGCGGAAAATAATTGCACAACTGTTCTTATATACCAATTTGTAATGTGAAATAAAGTATCTTTTGTTTCCGAATGTCACAATAGATACACTGACAGAGTGCGAGAGACAGAGAGAGACCGATAGAGAGAGAGAGAGAGAGAGAGAGAGACAGAGAGAGCAACAGAGAGGGACTCTCCTCAGGCATAGTATAATTGCTTGAGACTGGAAATTGAATAAGTACTACGTACTTAGATTTGACCGAACGATTTGAAAAATACGTATAACTAACTGTATATATAATATATGCACTCTGGCCAAGTGAATATTAACTAAATGCGATAAATCACTAAAAGTGTGACATGCGACAGGCGACATGCGATTCTTCCAAAGAATTTCCCGGTCAATGATCAGATCCCGAAATGTATACACATATGGCATGCAAATGAAGATTCTCTCACTGAGATCTGGTCTTTCTCTTTTTGTTATGACGTCGGACTGCCACACGAACGGACGGATAGACGGACGGACTAACAGACTAGTACGTGTGCAGCAAATCAGTTCAATTAAGACTTGTTGCCCGTCTACTCAATCAGACTCACGCGTACATCCGTAACTCTGCGGCGTAATTTTTGAATGTATTCTTTTATTTGCTGGGCTATTTAATCCAAAGTATTTATAGCTTAAATAGCTCTATACGTAATTTCCCCTGATATAAATAACAAACCTGCTCCTAACCGCATTTCCCAATATACATATGTAAATAATAATGGGAAAAACAAGTAACATTGTTTGAGTCTAGGGACTGCTCGACTAGAAGATACCCGGAGCACTCCTTGCTAATGTGGAATTGACAGAAGATATCATTTATTGTATTTTCTATATGCATATCTATGTGTAAATATCAGACAGACAGCTGTACTAGCTGGTATATCTAGTATATTTATAAAAAAAAACATTACATACGTTGGGGATTTTCCAGTTGTCTTCAGTATCAGTATTTCTGTAAATGGAATAGGGTTAATTATTTGGATTTGTGTGTTGCTGATTTGATTCCCATTTACATAGGCCTCAATCTCCAAATTGTTGTTTTCAATTTAGAGTTCTTATCAGCCAAGTGGCCATATCGTATAGTCATACATATGGATGTGTAAGCCTATGTGGTTCGGCTTACAGTTACAGCAAAGTCTGCTTAGAGTAGATAATAAAAAGCTCAGCGTAGCCCCAGACATATATATATATATATGGGTCAATTCGATTCTACATACAAATGAGGGATAAGAAAAAGCCTCAAGAACTGAAAGTCCTGAATATTTGAGTCTTCCGGAGACAATAAATCCAGCAATACAAATTATAATGTTTGTTGTTTGAGCATATGACTAAAATTATTTGTCTCTAGATAACTAGAATTATAATATAATATTTCTATTTACTTTGTCATGTCATACGCAGAACAGTTTTATAGCTGTTTTGTATAGATAACATTATATTATAGGGTATTTTTTGTTATACTGGAGTATTGAAGTGTTAAGCATCTATTGTATACTATATGCTTGAGCCATAAAAAACTTACTTTATATACAGAGCGCACTTAGACAAAACGAAAAATAGAAAAACAATAATATTAAAGTTAATAAATTATTTGCAATTTTCAAGCTTGACCCGGTTAGATCTAGACTGCCTCAGCAATCTACTAGATATATATAAATACAAAAACGTGACTTAAATATTCAAAATATTAAGCTAAAGTATGATTGATGCTCGAAAGTTAAGTTTTCACAGTAATTTCGAAACCTATGTATAGGCTATACGAAATGACTTTTAACACAGCCAAAATTTACTATAAGCTTTTTATAATCTCAGCTTGTAACAAATTTGTCAACCGGTTGACGGATTTTCCATATCTTAACTTTAAAATAAAATTCCAAATGGTAATTTTGATTCCAAATGGTAGCTATTGAACCAGCTCAATACGAGCTGTACGTTGATCAAAAGCCAGTCGCTTAACCAAGTAATTATAGTTTGCATCTAGAAACAACAAAAAAATATCGAATCATTTGTACTTATCAATTATAGTCTCATAACAAAATGGTATATATATATGTATATATATGTATTTTTAATCATTTTGTTAGTAGAGTATGTATGTCAATTGATAATACGCCCATATTTTGTGAAACACATATGGAAATGTGACTGCAGACAAGTTCATTGGCTTATTTTTCTAAGCAGTTGAAGGTTGTTGAGCACTATTTAGTATATGTATAAGTTACGCCAAAAGTCCCAGTATTAAAATCCTTATTATGCGGGTACTCAAAAGGCGCAAACACACAGGCATACATATGCACAATTAAATGAGCGACATAAGAGAGAAAATAAATACGAACAATACAGCAAAATGTAGGAGCTAACGGTTAAATTGAAATACGGTACATACGCTCAGATGATTTATAAATAGAATAGCCGCCCGACGCCCTCCATCAGCATTAACATGTGCACTTTACTCGTGCTTACGCTTACGTTCGCAGTCGTGTGCCACGATCTCGCTGGCAACGTCGTCGGCGTTCGGCAATTTATTTTATAAAATAAAAACGGCCGAAACAGTTAGAAGTATTCTTGCACTGGTGCGGCGCAGGTTGTGTCTGGGTCGTTGAAAAGTGCGAAAAGTGCAACTCGTTCGACCGTTGAGAATTGAAGTGATTAGGGAACTACACTTAAAATATAATCAACAATTATTTTAATTAGAATTATTACAAATTTCAATTTGCGGCTACGTTCGTAAGGTTACTTTTATAGCGCTGTAAATGTGATAAATTGTAAATATAAATAAGTATTTCTCAGTGTGTGGCTATAAAGTTGGTAGTTATTAGTCAAGAGTTTACAACAAAGCAAAAGGAGATAAGAGTATAAAGATACATAGCAGTTCCTTAAAAAATGATCAACATAAATGTGCTCTATCCAATAATCCTTTGCTGCTGCCTGGCGGCTGTGCCGCAGGTGCGAGCAAAGCATCTGCCGGAATATGTAGCAGAAAGTGCTAATGCCATTGACAAAGAAGTCGAAACCTACAATTTTACCTCCTGGTAAGTAATGAGACTTTGAAAAGCGTTCGTTCACTTTATGGCCTGCCCGTGCGTAATATACGAATAACAATCCCTATCTATACGGTTTTTATTAACGTACAAGTGTATACATACGTATATGTATATACCTGCTTGGTAGATTACTTGTTTAATACACCTGTGTTAGCTTGAGTCGAACCGGTTCACAGTTGTCAAACTGAAACTCAAATCTGCATCATATTATAGTAAACGCGAGATCAATAAACGTGACTGATTATATCGAAATCGTGCAACCAAAGTGAACCCGATAGCCGAACCTATCGGCCAGGTGTTGCACTTAACTCGTTAGCGCTGAAAGTCTAATTGCTTAATTAAGAGAGAGAAAGAAAAAAGTATTTACACTAATTTATGATGTCAGTTGTCAGGTCCACTGAAGTCGTTATGGACGCAGCTTTGCTTAATGTGTTTTGTTTTTCAGATGCATTCAGTGTTCAGCTTTTAGATCGATTTTGCTTAAGTAGAAGACGGCAGTACGAGAAGTAGTTTTCATATTAAAAATAATATTAATGTTTGAGATAAAAAACTTGGATTCAAGTAGAATTAAATAGGTATACAGAATTTGTTCCTCAATAGATTTAATGTATACATTTATTTTTGAGCATACAAAAAAGACAGAAATCGAAATAAAATTTTGCAAAAATCTTAAATACAAAATTAATGAATTTGTGAATGTATAAATATAGAATTATAATGTTAAGCTTAAGTTAAGATCAAGTGTTAATCAAGTGAATTTTGATGAAACCCGTTTAATAAAAAAATTGAATTAATAATGCAACTTTTTAAGGAATTTTGAAAATGAAAAATCTGTAAAAAATGCACATTTTCAATATATGAAAGATCTGAATGTATTTCGCATTTCGTTTTTAGCCAAATATATTGCTATGGGCCGCTGCTGCACACGGTTCAAATGGCGAAGCTGTTTCCCGACTCGAAGACTTTTGTGGACATGAAGCTGAAGGCATCGCCCGAGAAGACAATGGAGCTATTTGAGGCATTCATGGCCTCGAAGAACAATGCACCCACCAATGATGAAATACGGAAATTTGTTAATGTACGAAAGCGACGGGAAGTCAATATTTGCGCACATCTCAATTGATGGAATTTTTCGGAATTTTCAGGATAATTTTGGAGATAAGGGCACTGAGCTGGAGGTGTGGTCACCAACAGACTGGGTCGAGAATCCTGCCTTTTTAAATCTGGTGAACGATCCAGATCTTAAGCAATGGGGCATGGACCTGAATAACATCTGGAAGGAGCTGGGCCGTAAGATGAAGGACGATGTGCACAAGAATCCGGAATATTACTCCATTATACCCGTGCCCAATCCGGTTATTGTGCCCGGTGGTCGCTTTATCGAGTTCTACTACTGGGACTCTTACTGGATCATCCGTGGTCTGCTATACTGCGAGATGAGGAATACGGCCCGTGGCATGATCGAGAATCTGATGTCCATTGTGCAACGTATTGGATTCATACCGAACGGCGGTCGCGTCTACTACTGGGGTCGTTCCCAGCCTCCGCTACTGGCGGGCATGGTCAAGTCCTACGTTGATTTCACCAAGGATGATCGGTTTGCCATCAATGCGCTGGAGATACTGGAGCACGAGTTCGAATACTTCATTAACAATCACAGCGTGCAGGCCAAAGGACACGATCTAGCCGTCTACAGAGACTCGTCGAAGGGACCACGCCCCGAATCCTATAGTGAGGACGTCGAGACAGCTGAGAGCTTCCACACCGATGAGGCTAAGGAAGATCACTATAGCGAACTGAAGTCGGCTGCCGAATCAGGCATGGACTTCAGCTCTCGTTGGTACATCAACGAAAACGGCACAAATATTGGAAACCTCTCAGACGCCAAGACCCGTTCCATTGTCCCTGTCGATCTGAATGCAATTCTTTACTGGAACGCCAAGATTATTGCCGAATTCCATGCAAAGGCTGGCAACGTCGATAAGATGGCAGAGTACGAGACCAAGGCGCAGAAAATCAAGGAGGTAGCTAATCGAAAGTTATTCCATATAGATATCTTTCTTTATATAGATATATATTCCCTTCTCTATCATGTGTTTTGCAGGCAATTCAGGCGGTTTTGTGGAACGAGGAGGCCGGCTGCTGGCTGGACTACGATTTGATCAACGAGAAGCCACGTGACTACTTTGTGACCTCCAACCTTGCCCCGCTGTGGGTCAAGGCGTACAATATTTCCGACACTGACAAAATATCGGCATCTGTGCTGAGCTATATTGAAAAGAACAAACTGGACACATTCCCAGGCGGCGTACCAAATACGCTCTACCACACTGGTGAACAGTGGGACTTCCCGAATGTGTGGGCGCCTCTGCAGTATATTGTTATCGAGGGTCTAGATAATATCGGCACTCCCGAGGCCCAGAAGCTTTCGAAAAGCTGGGGCCATCGCTGGGTCAAATCCAATTTTGCGGCATATCGCGATTCGCGTGCCATGTTCGAAAAGGTAGAGCAGAGTCGACTATATGTAGTGTCCGATTAACAGGGATTCTCTTCTGTTTCAGTACGATGCGGAAAAGTTTGGCGGACATGGCGGCGGTGGTGAATACGGCGTACAGAAGGGCTTTGGCTGGACCAACGGCGTCATCATCGAGTGGCTGGCGAAATACGGACACGAGATTTCGCTGAGCAATACGGGCGCTGCAGGTGAAAACGCGAAATAGAGAAACAACTTTCACCACGCACCTCGACACGAGCAATTGTTAAACGTTAAACATGAATTCATGAACCAAGCATCGGCCTTGTCTTCGCCTCCGTTGTTACAGCTGTTTCTCTGGCCACAGAGAAGCATGCATACTTTTAGAATTAGATTGAATCTCGCAGAGCTCAAATAGTTGTTAACTCAAAATATTTATGTTTATAAGATCTACTCTTCAGAAAAGAGTGGGGATCATGAAAGCGCGTGTATCGTCCCATTGCCCATCAATAGGTTAAGCTCAGCTCTCTGTCTCTCTCGCACAGTCACTCTCTTCTTCTGTGTCTATAACTAATGTCTGTAACGGAACAATCAACTTAGATTCGACGACGAATCGGCTTGCACAATCACCAAGAGAGGATTGATGACCAGATCCAGCTTCAGATCCAGCCAGAGCAGCATTCAAGATTACACACATATACTACACACACACACGCACACACACACACACTGAATCTCTTTCTTTTTAAATAAATATATTATATATCGCTATTCATTTGTCTTCAACTTTGCGTTCGCACTTGTCTCGTCTCGTCGCGCCTCGCATCGCATCGCATCGTATCGCATCTTTATCTGTCGTTGTCGCTTAACGCCAAATTTTTAACGTAAGTGTCTCAAGTATCATTTGTCGTTTATACCTCACTGTATTTGTTTTTTAATGTAGGCGCACGCATAACACAGTTGCTTAAACAAACCACAAAAAAAAAAAAAAATTTTTAATTCGAAGATCTTCACAGTAGTCTAACCTAGCATGATATATATTATATAGACCCCACCAGCCTCAAATCTGTTTTTTTTTAGTATAATTTTTAATCACAATTTTCTCGCTATATTTTATACAGGTCCCAACAGTCGATTCGTCAGCCTATTGGGCGTAACGGCTATAGCGTTAATAGGTGCCTTTGCGGGTCGTTTCATCTGGTGAGGTGAGTTAGGTGTCTGCCCATTTGTGATTTCAGAGAAGCAATTTTCAATCACATTTACCTTTAGTTCTCATTTCAGATTCAATGACTCTGTGTGCCACTGCTCTATGAAAATGTGATTCCCTCCCAGCATTTCTGTGTGCTTGTGTGTATGTGAGAGACTCTATGTTTCTAATTAGATAAAAAGCATTTTCAATTTGTACGCGCAGATTGCAGTATTAGATATAAAACAATACACAGTTAACATTATTATTAGATAAAGTGAGTGTAGATACAGGAATTATAAGGAGCATGCCCCACATGATACAACATAATATACTGAAAACATGAAGACAATAATGACACAATAATGGACACAAATTAATGCTAATAATGCATGCATGCGTTGACAATATTTCCTCGTAATCCCTTCGAAGACAAGTGTTACTAAATGAACACAATTTGATATATTTTTGAAATTGTTTGTTGTTAACAAAAATTGCCAAATTGTTTGCTCTTGAATCGTTTTGAAATAAAAGGAAACACAAATACCTGTTGCATGAACATCTGTTATGTTAATTAACAAATGTCAATATTTTTCAACTTTTCAGGCGGACTTGGTTCAAATAATTCAGAGCCAGCATACGTGTCAAGTGTACATAGGTTGTTTTTTATTTTTATATTTATATTGTTGCTTTGCTTGCGTTCAGAATTCAATAATTGGAAACTTATCTACAAAATAGCTAACACGACATAATTAGTAGACTTTAAACTAGAGGATTGAGTTACATGCACATTTATATTTATATATATGTATACAATATAAATAATTTGAAATCGTAACGCTCTTTTGCGATTGGATATGACTCGGTTCAATTAGACAAGGACACAAACTATTCACAGAATAACAGATAGAGATACAGCAAAAAAATAGTGAAATTATAGTACACAGTACATACATACAATAGAATAGAAAAAACAATAAATATTGGCCAACGAAGAATCGACTAGTTAATTAGTCTGTTGCGGCTCGTGACTAAAGTAGGGAGCGGTGTGTGGCGTGAGCAACGTGTGACAGATATCACAGACGCGGGCGACACGCTTCCGTGGTCCCGATGGCACCGTTTTTGTTAGACATTTATCGCAGTAGATGTGTCCACAATGGCGGCAATGTATTTTGCGCACCATCACCGTGAAGCCGGCGTTACATGTGGGACAGTTGTTAACGTCATCGTCGTCCTGCCAGCGCACCTCGGTGTCTGCGTGCCGCAGCTCCTCCAAGGTCATCTAAAACAAACAAAGAGGATTAAGCATGACATAATTGTTGACAATTATAATTGAAAATAAAACGAAAACTTGTGTTTTGATTGGATTCAAAAAATTGCACACTCGGCTTACCTGCAATTTTTGTGACAGTTTGACAAAATCTTTTTGCACCGTTTCCATTGTGGACAACTCCTCCTGAAGCGTCTTAATTTTAGCCTTATAGTCTACATTGTTTTTTCCCAGTTTCTCCTGTAAATTGTTCATTCGTGAAACTGATCGACTGATATAGTGAATCAACTACTTACGTTCGCTTCCTGTAGTTCTATAATCTCCACGCGGCATTCGGACAGCTGCTTGTTCAGCTCAGCCTCTTTGCGTTCCAAAAGTGTTTTTGATGACTCGTGTGACTGCTCCGCGACCAGCTGCTCCGTAATGCGATCTCTACGGAAAGTTGAGATTTATTAATATATTTATGGCTTACTTCTCTATCTTCGACTTACTGTAGCGACTTAATATCTAATTGCACTTTGCGCTTGTACGCGCGCCGCTCATTGTTGCTCTCTTCGAGCTGGGCGCGCAGTAAATGTATCTCATCCAGCGAGCTGACACATTTCTGTTTCTCGTATTCGCTGCTAACCCGCGCCTGTATCAGTTCGCTCTGTTGCCGCAGCATAAGTTCCTGCAACTCGACCACAGTGTTTGGGAGATTTATGTATTGATTTTCAATTTCTTCTGACGTCGCCAGAAATCGACCGGATAGAAAATCATTGTCAGCCTGCAACGTTTCGAGCTGCTGATTAACTCTTTCACGATCGTCGGTGACACGTTGTAGATTTCGCATCACCTCCTCCTTGGTCTCGAGAAACTTTTGCTGCATGTCCAAAAGTTGTTGCTCGTTGTTCTTAACTTGCTCACGAAGGTTTTGTACTTCGGTCTTATGTGCCTCGCGCTTCGTCTGCCACTGATTCTCCAAGTCATTACGCAGCGCAGCTTCTTTGCTCAACTGTTCCCGCGACTCAGTAATTTGCTTTTGCAGTATTTCCAGCTGCTTTTGCTGCTGTTTCATCTGCGCTGTTAAGTCATCAGAGCGCTGTTCTGTTGAATCACAGCTATTACAAGCTGAACTGGGCTCTACCAAATCTGTTGATGTGGACTTGTGCATGGCATTTGCGCCATCTATGACAGATTCTGTAGTTTCTTCCTTGCGCTGCGATGTGCTAGTTTTGGCCTGTAGCTGATCGTCTGTTTCGCGCAACTTTTCCTTTAGCGCTTTCATCTCTTCCTGCAATTGCTCAACTATAGAGTGCATCATTTCCGCATCTTCAGAAGCCTGCTTAAACATATATAGTATAGATATTATCTGAATTACAATTAGGCTTAAAAGTACTCACATATTGCTTGGCATTTGTCTTGCTCGTTCCACGCGTGTTGCTGTCGGCAGTCTCCTGTTGAAAGCTATTATTCAAGGAATCGCTGCCTAGCTTTCGCACAGATCCGAGTGTCTTCTTCACCTGATTAAGAACATGCGGCGCTAGACCGCCGGATGGCTCTACCGTGGTTATTTGCTGCATCTGCTGAAGTTGCAGTTGTTGCTGCCGTAGCTGTTCCACTTTAATACGTTCCAATTCTGCTTTATATATGGCCGATTCCTCAATCGTGTCCTGCACCAGCTGCTGCAGTGACGATATCTCCTCTTGAGCCTTTATATCCTTCAACTGCATTTCATTCTCGGATTTTAGGTCAGCTACCATAACGTGGGTCTTCAACTCATTCAATTCGTCTTGCAGCTGCTTTCGCTCGGCCTCCTTCTGCATGTACAACTCCTTCATTTTAGCACGCTGCGTATTAAACTCGTTTTGCATTTTACGCATCTCGGTTTGGAGCAGTTCCAACTTATGCTGGTATGTCGCGTCATCATCTCCTGAAGTGATGAAGCTATTTCAGCTGAATTCTGCATTGATTATTGATCATTCGCTTACCGTTTGCAACGTTATTCTGGGCTTCCGACGTGCTCTCATTCTCTTCCATTTTACAGAAATTGAGGCAATGCAATAATATCAACAATTATGTTTAGTTTACAACAGGGATGCAAGCCATCAGAATTAGAGATGCGCCACTGAAATAGAACTCGCCCACGAAATACTTGCCGCTTTCGATAAATATAGAAAGCTCGATTTGCTAAGGCAATGGCTGACAGTATTTATGCAGGCATACAATATTCGACTATTTATGCTTCATGTTGAAAATATTCTTAAAATAACAACATGTATCAAAAACAGTATAAACTGTTAATTAATAATAATTGCTAACTTTGCTTTAAATGTAACGACAAAGCAAACTCCCATCGCAAATACGTTATAAAAATATCGATGAGAAAATCTATCTATCTATCGATTGTATTGGTGTAATGTGTCACCGCTAATGCACATGTGTTTTGGAACGCAATTGCTACGAAAGTCGTCAATTTTTTTATTTTTTGAAGAAGCACCAATAGTTACAGCATAAAAATGGTAAATGTATAGCAGTATATTAATATCAACTTCGCTTAAGTGAATTTTAATTTTAGGTAAAAGGGAAAAAGCCATATATTGACCGGAAAAAGGCTGTCACATTTCACTTGGTGCATCGCAGTCAACACGATCCCTTGGTGACAGACGAAACTGCTCCACAGCGTGTGCTGTTAGAGGCGAGTGCAAGGCAGTCGCAAGCAAAGCCACAGGATGAAGCACCTATAGACCCGGCGAAACGGCAAGAGGAACTGAAAAAGTTTGGTATTCACTTTGACGATGATTACGACTACCTGCAACATTTGAAAAAGAGAGAAAATGATGTAGTTTGGGAGTATATGGAGAATCCTAACCAGGCAAAGAAGACAAACGCTGAGGAAGCCAAATCGCAAAACAAGCTTCTGCTGCCGAGTTCCGTATTTGCAAGTGAATTTGAAGAGTCTGAGGGCATGTTAAACAAAGCAGCTCCTCACCCCGGTCCGCGTCCAGATTGGGATCCGGATGTTGTTGCAGCACTCGATAGTGATTTTGAAGACACCGAAGAGCTGGAAGACGATTTCGTAATGCAAGCAATGGTCAGCGGTGATGAAGACGAAGATGGAGAGGATGATGATTGGCAAGACGAGGACGAAGAAAATGATATGGACTTTGATTCGGATAATTTAAATGAAGATGAGAACGCTGACGAGTTAATGGACCGCCTCGGTCCGTTGATGCGAAAAAGTCGTTTCGACGATGAGGAAACCAAGTCGCGCTTCACAGAATACTCAATGTCATCCAGTGTTATTCGCAGAAATGAACAACTCTCATTGCTAGATGATCGTTTCGAACAGTTCTATGCAAGCTACGACGATCCCGAGCTTGGAGATCTCGCTTTGGAAGATATTGAGGGTCAGTGGCATCAGAAACATCCCGTTGTAATGCAATGTTTCCAGGAATTCAAAAAGAAAAACGAAGATTTAAAATATGACAAAGAGTGGGATCGCGAACGCGTCAAAAAATACTCAAATGTTGTTGATGGCGAACACGATCCAACGGATGAGTTGGTCGAATACGAAGTCGAAGACGGCAAAGAAAAGAAATGGGACTGCGAATCCATACTGTCCACCTATTCAAACATTTATAACCATCCCAAACTAATTGACGAGCCGCGCTCCAATCGACGGGCAGCTCCTATTCAAATCGATCCTAAAACGGGTCTGCCCGTAAACGTGCTGCGTGGCAGCGCCGATGCACAGCTAACGGCTAAGGCGCTGGCCAACTTGGCTGATGATTCACCAGATAAGGCTGGTCCGAAATCTCTATGTGCCAAATCGGTGCTATCCACGCTGAGTGTTCTCTCCATACGCCCCAAGGACGAAACTCCTGAAGAGAAGCGCGAACGCAAGCGTTTACTTAAGGATTACCGCAGCGAACGTCGCATCGAGAAGAAAGCCAACGCCGACGCCTTCAAGGAGGAGAAGAAACGACAGACACATGTGAAAATCAACCAGCGCACGAACCAGCAGGGCTCGACAATTGTTTAGGCTGTTTATTTTAATAGTTTTAGTAACATTATATGTTTATTCTTGAAAATGTTAGTTTTAATATACAATCATGGTATGAAAATATCCTATGTATGAATGTACATAAATATATTTAACACAAACTTTGAATTTTTTAAAAGAAAACTTTGTAAACTTTTCTATAGATGTTGCATAAAAACTAATATGCTCTTTCAAGGAATACCCTACATATAGAGCGACTTCCATATACGTTCGTGAGGATAATACTAACATATATGTATATATTCATGGTGTAGCCATAAAAAGACAACCACGAACCACGCAACAATTACCTCAAACCCCAATGGGCCTATATGTGTCGGCTGAACTATGACCAACTGCAGCAGGTAGGCCGATTTGCTCAAATTCCTTTATACATATATATATATATATATATATATATAATATATAGAAATTTACGTTTCATTGTTAATTCACACTTCTTCAGGTAGTGCAAACAAATAGTCAGGACATACCATAGGAAACCTAGATATATATAATATGTATATAGTCCTTTACACTCATTACGTCGCACATAAGTGCTAAAAACACAGTTTAGAATTTCCCTTGAGATATGAGTGAAAGTAGGCGCGATTTCCAGCTAATAAAAGTTAGCTCTACTTTTCGAAGTGGGTGTTGCTGTTGGAAAGGCCCAACTTAACAGACTATGTTTGTATATAGCAGCTGTATGAATGAACGTATGTTTGTATATGCATGTATGTGTGTATATAGAGATGTTTGTATAAATAGATACCATATGCATGTGTCCGTCTGTTTGTATTCATTTACCCCGTCTCACCTGTTTAGTATTCGGTTATTTTGTGGAAAATTCAAGTCAAATTGCACAAATTTTATTGGAAAGGAGCGACGTCAGTTCATGATAGTTAGTTGCTTGATGGAAGGGTGCAGACGTGATTTGTTTAAGTAAATCCGATGTCTATATAAGGCTTATGGCTTGTTTGTTTGTCTAGCAGGAACTGAAATATGAGAGGCTTTCAGTTTCGTCACAGTAATGACCTTCAAATGGGGTTTCACTTCAAATATACATACATATATATTTTTTAGAAAATATTAGCATATACTAATAATTCAGTTTCAGTTGCGCGTTAATACACCATAATTAGGTATTTAGCAAGCAATATTACATACATACAAACATACTTATGTATGTGTGTGTATTGAGACAAGCAAATCGTACCCTAATTACCGACCCTGTGTTCTACTAAATACCAAAACAAACCACGTACTATTGCAAATGATTAAAAATCCACATGGCCACATTTCCATGGCGCCTAACGGAACCTAACACCAATTTGGAACCAAGCTCGAGCTCGCACGCTTACCCAGCACGATACTCACAACTCCTTGTAAATGGAAACCGTCACAGTTGTCGTGCCGCTGCCCCTGCCCCTGCTCCTGCCTTGGGCCCATATCTACCCATGAGCTGGCGGCCAGCGTCGGCGTCAGCGCCAGCGCTGGCGTCGCGTTTGCAGCCATTTTGTTGGGAGCGTGGTCTATTAAAGTGGCAAGAAAGCAGCAAAGAAATTCGCGCATTTTTAGTTCCGTTCAGTTCCTGAGCGAAGCCGAAAGGATTCGAACGCGCGTCGGCCAGCAACGCGGTAATGCCCACATTATTTCATTCAATTGTCCAGCGGACAAAAAGTGTTCGTGTCAGCGTGTTAGCAATTGCCTCAAAATTGGCTTACGTGCATTTTCGATTCGGTTACTTTTCGAATCGCGTATTGAAAGTTCTAAATCGATAACAACTAAAGCTATCGGTCTTAGTTTTGAAAAAAAAAAAAATTAATACTAATCCATACATATTTACAATTTAACATGAACCAGTTCCGCGAAACATGTAAACATGTGAAAAACCGTTACAAAATTAGCGATGAGAGTTTTAATTATGCAAACATATGGTCAAAGCTGGTCTCTAATAAGAGCAGTCAAATTGAATTTGTTAAAACTTTACTACTTTTATGCATTCGTTTAAAATAAATTTATATTAATTTAAGAGTATAAACGTAGCCGCCTTTAACATGCATAATTAAAATAAATGGATTTCCAGACTCAATTAGTATGCTACTAACACAGATAGATACAAACATGTATAAATAAATATACATGTTGTTTGTATGTGGATGTGATTGTATAGCTTTGTGCGAAAATGCAAAATATTCCATATTCAAAATAATTAAAAACTGTAAAATACAAAAAATTGCAATAAACCCTGATCTTGATTCAAATATATCATATATGTATATACGAGGAAATACAGATGTGTGTGCTGCAGATCTAAATCTTTAAGTGTGTGACAGACGCCTGCCTCTATATGAGGGGCTAGCCGGATATACTTCATCTTGCGGTCCACTCATTGAAGCGGAATTTTTAATTTCAATGGCGAGAACGAATTGCCAGTGGCAATGGCAGTGTCAAAGTCGCTACCGGTTTCTAAAGTGTTGTAAAAATTGAAATTATAAGGAAAATCATAATCATGACAGAAGAAAACAACATATTGGATATATATATTCCTAAGATTGCTTGAGACAGATGCGCTAGTGCAATATGTCACAGCTTTTTGCCCTTGCGCAATCACAACAATGTGATATATGCCGATCAAGCATTTGTTTTATCTAATATTGAGTGATCTATTGCTCCATTATATAAGACGCATATATGCTTAAGTAGCTTGCTTTGCGTATGCTGACCAAATTGTAACGATAATATTTAAAGCGCGCGCGCTTAAGTGGAATCGGCACGCGATTCAATTGTCTCACATTGACTTAAGGCGCGAAGTGTGCCGCATTTACCGTTATGTATGTATGTGTGCATGCACATAAGTGACTCTGAGTGTGTGTGTGTGAGTGTGTGCGTGTGCCCGTATTTGCCTTGACCGGCTGCCTGGCGAGCTTAGGCAGCCCGGTGGCTATCATTTTACTAGAACCACATGCGCCTGCCTCCCACACAGATGGCCCGATAATCGCGCACAATCTATGAACATATGTGCATATCCGACAGCAGAAATCATGAGATAAGTGACACACACACATACACACGCACACACACAGTTGCTCGCATCTAGCCATAGATTTACATATGACATATGCCATATAGTACGCCACTATAGCGTCGGCCGAGTGGACAACGGTTTATTTATTCGATATTTGAACGCTAGCTGAGTTGGTATCGCAGTCGAAGTCGATCCATGAGTCCAGCTGTGTGCGAACATAATTAGCTAATGACGCGCTAATATCGCGATAATTGATATCCTAATTATATTTAGTAATCAATCAAACTAGTGCGCGTATCCTTAGAGTTTAACGAGTTTTCTTCTGATTTTTATTTAATTCAAATTCAATTTAAATTTCAATTCCGATTTCGATTTCGATTTCGATTTCGCTATCGTGTTGCAGATTTCATAAAGCGAATTATGAAATTCCCACGTCGATGTAAAGTGAGATGATTTGAGGTTTGGTTTAATTTTCTGTTTCGTCGTCAACATCATGCTGGGCAAATACAACACAAAGGCATTCATATCGCTTGGATTGACTTTCATATTGATGTGGTGAGTTCCAATTACAATTAGGAAATAAATAATAATAATTATCCTGTATTGTATACTATATAACACTTGCTTTGGGCACATTACATTTTAATTTATTATTGAATTTCAAATCAATTCAATTCCTAATATAGAATACTAGAAATTCAACTGAATATTTATTATTAGCAACTTTTCGCATCCTTAATAAATAGACTTTAAATTTAAAATTCAGCTCTTGCCTATATGATTTATAAATTATGACATATGTCAGACACTTACGTATCTCCCACAGTTATCAAGCTAAAGTTACCAAACTTCAAGAATAGCTAATCGTTAAGCTCTTTTAAACATTAACTTTGAAAATATTTTGATTATAAAAAATAGACTTCAAAATGTATTATCAGAGCTTTTGTAGTGCAAGTAGCTGAGATTTCTTACAGCCCTACAACAATACTAATATTATTACAATTTGATATACTCGCCTTAAGCCCTAAAGCGAGATTTATTCAATTGTAGAGGCAAACTTCTCATTTGAACTATATATTGTAAATCTTTACCTTATGTGTAAACATTTTATCTCAGATTCATTGAAAGAATAGTCCTTCTAGTTTGTGCTAAATTAAAAATGAAAGTAAACTTCATATTTCTTGAAACTTTATTAAAAAAGAGAGAATAAATAGATTTATATACAATATTCATGTATATACTTATGTTAAACTCTATATTCAATGCTAATTTATGCTGATTATAGAATTTCTTTATCACATCTTAATTTGATCTGAATATGATAATAATTGGAAAATTACACAAGGCAGCTTTATATTATACTAAATCTGAGAGGGTGTTGCAATTACAAGAATTACAGAAAGATAATTTTAGGTATATAGGCATTTAGCTAGGAACATGATTATGATTCTAGCTAATTTGAAATGCAATTAGTTGCAATTTGTTGTTACGTAAGCCAAATACTTTTGACTCGAAATTGTTTAACAACTTCGTTGGGATTTACCAAACCTGCAAATTGTATAGCTATTTATTTCTATTGTTGTCATATATAAAAATATAACTATATATTTACAAGATATACTGCATATATATACTGTATATACTGCAGAAGGCAGTCTTAAATGTATCATAAGATTAAATTAATCTATTATGTTGTCCCACACAATTAATATATTGACTGTCACTATTTTATATACATGATATGAGATGAAATTATTCGATATGATATGTTATATATGTATGTATATGTGATATATATGCTTGAACTAAATGAAGCAAAGCTGCAGAAGAATCATTCAAAGAAATCTTTAACCATACGTCCTTAACTTAGTATTGTATTAGATCAGTAAAAGTCTTTTGAGACGTTGAAGATATTATAAGACCTTTGAGCATTAAGACGTAAGAGTAATGATTTAACATATCAATATCATTTGACGATTTTAACGGCACTTTACTTTGAGCTACAGATCAATACAGTTTAGTTAAATGAAAGTAAAGTAAAAAAAAATTAATTTGATCAATCAATGAATCGCGAATATTTCTCTAAATCATATCATAAAGTATGTGTGCTAAATAATCTTAATATTTTAATATTTTATTTTGATATATAATCTAAAACGCACATCAATTGTGAATCTCTCGCAGAACATTCGAAACATTAACTGAAATGTATGAAATGCATGTGTCATTGTGGAAAAAGAAATTGCATATAATATAAATAATTTTTATTGAATACAACCTTTGCACGGTATTTCCGAGTATTGGCAAGCCATTTGACAAAATGAAAAAGAGTAGAAAGCTAAAAGGAAAAACACACATACCAAGGTCAATTGAATCACTGCAAATGGGGCTGCAGCACGAATATTAGTCAACTTAAAGTTTAGCTAGGGGTTGTCAGGTGAACTAGCAGTAAGCTGAAATGCACCTGTATTCACAGCTAGACAGGCCCAGACACGAATGTATGCAAGTTAATTTCCAGTTTGGACTTAAATTGACAAAGTTTATAACAGCAGCAAAGGCCCCACGAGGGCCAAGAGCCAAACATATGTCTAAATATATATATATATATATGTATATATAGGCATATATATTCGTTGAGCTGTTGCCATTTCATATCCGATTTGTATTTTTGGCCACTTTTCAGGATTAGTGAGGCCACGGACGCCCACGTGAACTACAACTATACAACGAAGCCGCGAGTGGTTCTTCCGCCTAATTATGTCAAGGGTAAGTACTGTATACCCTGTAAATTAGTGATCTAACTGTTACAATTTTGAACTCATTTTAAACAGCTTGACATGCTTTGTTTATTAAGCTTTACTTTCATTACTTTAAACTACGGTGACTCAGTTTCTTTGCTCGTTTAATTGTCAGATTTTTAAATACTCTAATTGAGAGTATTTCGCATTGTTTAAACTTAACAACTGTTAAATTGTATAGTTATATATTTTTTAAAAATAGTTTTTGTTAAATAAAATGCACATACATGATTTTATAAACCAAATTTAATTTTTATATCTTTAATAAACATTTTTAAATAACTTTTAAATTCATTATTATTAAAAAATTTTGATTAAATTATATTTAAAATAAGTCATTTAAATTAATTAAAATAGTTAAGCTGAACAAGTCTTCAATATAAACTTTATATCTCCTGAGTGTTTTTTCTAGAGCTGCATTAGCAGTAAATAAATTGTTAAATACTCGTATATTTATATTAATAATGCAATGTGTTAGCATATTAAATCTTCGGCTCACCAAGCACGATTCACATATTTTGTGATTCATTTCTTTTTTTGCTTTTTTGCCATTGCTAAAGCGTTGCGTGTGGCATTTATCGTGACACAGCCAATTTCAGGGCCTTTTCGCCCTTCGAGTCCCCTTTTTGTCTGCAGCCTGTACATATTCGCTTAACTTCTGTAATTACTACTTATGTACATGTATGTATATATATATGTAATATATGTATGTATATAAGAGCCATGTATGTCGTTCCTTGACGTCAACAGAGAAAAAAAATGGAAATTATTGCGATCGATTAAACGAGAGAGAAAAGCACTGAAAAAGGAGATGAGTTTCGATTTTGCATGCATTTACCGTTATGCAGCTAGATATTATATATATTGAGAGATATATGTATGTGCACAAACTTTTGTTGTGTATCGAAAGATATATAATTCATATAATTCATATCATGTTCTGGCATTGCCTTAATCTGAATGGCTTATAGTCTTAACCTGACAGTCCCTACACTTACAATCTTTTAATAGTTTTTTTTATGCCTCTTCTTGTTCAATATAACTGTTATTTAAGCAATAATTTATATAGAATGTTGCCTGATGGCTAAAGACCACTCTGTCCATAGCGGATTTTGCTAAGATTAACGTCAAGACTGCGTCTCTTGGTTTACTCTGTTGTAGATTAGCCTGAAGGATCTTGCTCTAATTGAACATTGTTCTCAGTGTACCTACGTCCAGGTATCAGCTTTTCCACCACAAAACCTTTTTAGCAAAGTCTTCTTTCAAGCATCTTTGTCTTTGCACATGGCTTCATTATGATCTTTACTTTGGTTTCACCAAGTACTTCGGCCAGCTCGATTTATTCTTCTATTCGCCTTGCAGAGTAAAGTAAATTGTGCTCTGCGTCGTATACTTAATTTTTACAATAAATACAACTGGATACAGCTTTTTTCCCATCTTATATAGGTAATTTTAAAGTAACCCTAACCAGAGTGCAGACGTCTTATCGCACTGCTTTAGGTCGCACGCAATTTTCCTATTGACAATTTTAGAATATTTAATTAATAAGAGTAATAATTATAACAATAGTTCCAATAAATAAATAAAATATATGCGCTTCCATAAGCTGGTCGAGGCTTAATTGTTTCATATCCAAAAATAAACTTCGAAAATTGTGTGATTAAAATTGATGAATTGCTTAGCTACTATCCCTCAGTCAATTAATCAAAAAAATATAAATATATCATATATATATATATATATTTATATATATATGCTTAGCATAAAATATGTAATCCATTAAGTAAGATGTACCCATAGAAAATAAGTATTATGCCCCAACTAAACGTTCTATTCCGGCCACGAGTTGTATTGTGATTAAAGTTAAAGCCTTCAGACTCGTGCGAAAAAAGAAAAAAAAAAACAAAATGCCAACTAAATTAAGTTGAAGCTTAACGTCTAACACCTAAAGTCTAACGTCTAACGTCTAACGTCTAACGCCTGACGCCTGAGCCTCTATCGATTTTCACTGTTGTGTAATAAACCTTCAACCCACACGCTGTCCCTGAACTTGAGATGGGGACGATTGCCCGAAATTCTTACGTGTTTATATACGATAAATTGCGGACTATATAATCGCATATGAGATTGATGTGTGGGCCCGGGCTGCACAGAAATATTATTTAACTTTCTGATTGTATTCGATCTGTTTACTTGCAGAAATGCGTCCGCCCTCCAAGAAGGGTTCCCCAGTGATAGTAGACTTTAGCATATTTGTTGTAGATATTAACTCAATTAACGTAGAGGATATGGACTTTAGGTAAGTGTGGAGTGAGGCCATCTCGAAATAATGATCATATAAAGCAGCCAGACATTATATATCCATTTTCAGAGTTGACATGTTCATTCATCAGCGATGGATGGAGTCGCGACTGGAAATCTCCGATGACATATTCGAGGAGGGCGACGACTATGTGACCTTACTTCCAGAATTCTTCGACAACCTCTGGCAGCCAGATCCATATTTTCTCAATTCGAAGATTGCCGGTAAGTGAACGAGCCCACAAATGTTATATATGCATGTTCCTACCTAGACTTACTCCCGGTTAAGTAAGGTGTTTTTCTGTTCGAGTTTTGACACCTGAATTCACACGTTTCCTCGCACCGATAAGTCTCTCTTAGAGTTAGTCTATATGTAATCTAATTGCTCATTTAATTTGTGTATAATAATATTGTGTTTCTTATACTTTTAATTTTCATTGTTTTTAACATTAACAAAAAAAATATTTAACTACTAACAACAACGCATACAACTAGGATTTGGAAGTCCACATATTCCGTCGACTTCTCTACTACGCCATAAGGATGAAAGAGAATCAAAAAACTTTCATCTAGACAAATCTTTAAGTATACTAACAATCAACTCTAGAATCTGTTTCGTGTTGGCCATTGTGATCAAGTCGAACTCAAAATCCAACAATTCATCAAATCAACTCATGCATAACTCGAACTTCAGCCCAAAAGCAAACTGTCTTCGGCATGCCGAACATGGAATACTCTTGCAGTCTTAAGAAGTCTTGAATCTCTTATCTGGCTATAACAGTTTGACAACAAAAGTCTAAACTTTTTGCTTGCTAAAATATCACTTAAAATCATTTGACATGGCTTTTGTCTCTAATATATACTACGAACACGCATTAGCCTTATCGCTACTAGATTAAAGTCAATTACATAAATATTGTATAGGTTATTGACTCTGTGGAAACACAGAGGCAGGGCTAAAGAAGATGTGTTCAAAATACCTAATAAAAGCCAATTTAGCTGACTTCAATGTGAACTAATTACAACTAAACAGCTGTTAGCTTATGACTTGAAATAGCTTTAAATATTAATAAAATAATAACAATTTATGTGAGATTAAATATATTGTTAGGAAACTTAATGGCCTTTTATGTAGCCTGAGACTTAATACCTACGCTGCAAGTTTATAATATCATCTGCTCATATCTTTAATAACAATAAATTATATAGTATATATTTATATATATATATATATTATCTCATTCATTATCGTCTCACAGTCACAACATTTATATTTTCCAATAATTTGATTATTCCCATAAACATAAATAAATGTTTATTCAATCCAGTTTGTTTTCAGTAGATCGATAAAATGATTTATTTATTTAATTCAATGCAGCCAACTAACAAATATCAAACTAGCAACAAAATGCAACATAAACAATAGAGAGTCCGCCTTCAGTCCATTTATCTGGCATTGCGTGCAGCTGGAAAATCAAGCTGAAAAGCTCTAAAAACTATTTCAGGTTGACCAAAGCGTTCTCAATGCCATGGCCAATTAGTTGTTGGTGTTTGGCTTAAAAAGAATGTAGAGTCGTATTAGAAAGGCAAAGTTTTGCAGTTGTAGAGGGTTGTGATACGATCTAAACAAGGTTCCAAGGCGACATTGCAAACAGAAATCAATTCCATTTGACCTTAGATCACCTTTAACAACTTTAGTACAGATTTCGCATGCCTTAAAGGGGTTGTAAATCTTTATCTACCTAGCGCATACTTAAATTATATATAATATAATAATATAATAAGTTATTAGTTGCCTCTTTGAACTTCGAATCCCTGCCTGGTATGAGCTACGTCTAATTGCCTAAGCAGACAAATTTCGTAACAGGACATAACAAATGAAAGCCATCCAGCTTTATTGGCAATTAAAGTCAGGCATTGTTAGTGTCCCAATCTATTTCCAGCAAAGCTCGAAATATCGATTTGCAGCTTTGGTTTTGTTTAACTAGGATGAGACATACTTTCGTTATGAACACTGTACAGTAAACACAAAAAACTAAAAATAATCTACGCCAAACATTATTAATAAAAACAAATCGAGGTCGTATCGAACAAAGACTTAGACTTGCACTTATTACAATTATGGAATTATATTAACTAATTAAAGGAAGCAATGCTTGATATAACAAGGTAGTAATAATATATATATATATATATATATATATATATATATATATATATATATATATATATATATATATATATATATATATATATATATATATATGTATTTATTAATATATATTTTTAAATTAATATATAAATTATAGATTGTTTTTATAGTTTTCTTCTTCCTGGAACTGGAATAAATTTCCTAAAGAGAATTACAGATTTATAAAAAATGTTATATATTTTGTAAACATATATATTTATTACAAATTCAATTTCAAGAGAGTACTCATCAGCTCACCAATATATCCTATTTCCACGTTAATTTATTATACTATAGTTGGCTGCATCTGGTCAGTTGCTCAACAAATATAAGACTAGCAGGAGAACTAGGGCTCAGGCTCAACGCTCAGCGAACCTGGGCCAGGCTCTATATCTACATATATAATCGTGTTCACATGCAGTGAAATATGCATTCGAGTCATTCGCTTACGTAGTTAACATAGTTCCTACTTCAAGATGCACTCGCCCACCTGCATAATGCGTGTAAACCCATCTCTGTAGCCACAATATCAGCCAACGAGTGCCTTTGCCAATTCTATCTAGTTCTAATCGAAACAACTTTGTTCCGCAACTCTGCAACGTCTTTTCGATGTCTTCTCATTGTAGAAATAGCTACCCTGACGCACAAGTTCACATCGGTGACGCTCTATAAGAATAAGACAGTGCGCTATGCCGCCCGGATGCATGCCATAATTGCCTGCCAGATGGAGTTCCAGCTGTATCCCATGGACATCCAAGTGTGTCCCATTTACATTGAAAGTTGTAAGTGGGCTGGGCAGTTCGGTCAATCAATCCGGGTCAATCATTCAATAATGATTTCGTTCATTTCAAGTTTCGTCCAATAACCAAAAGGTAAAGCTGCGCTGGTCGGATTCCGGGGTAACGCTCAATCCGGAACTGAAGCTGCTGCAGTACAATCTTGGCCAGCCGCTGGAGCTGGAGGAGAGCGATGGCTATATGCCCGAGAAGGTGGGCAACTTCTCTCGGCTCACCGTCTACTTTCGCTTCGAGCGTCAGATCGGCCATCATCTCATCCAGACATTTGCGCCCTCCTCGCTGGTGGTGATGCTGTCGTGGTTTAGCTTCTGGCTCGGTCTGGATGCCATTCCGGGTCGCGTCACACTGCTGGTCACCTGCATGCTGACGCTGGTGACAATGTTTACGGGGCTGCGAGCCGATATACCACCCGTTGCGTATGTAAAGGCAATTAACTAGCTCCCCAATCCACACGGTCATGACGCCAACTAACCGAACCCCAACTTTGCTTGCATGCGACAGGCGCTGGATCTGTGGATGGCCGGATGCATGGTCTCCGTGTTTGCCGCCTTGGCTGAGTTCGTTGTCGTCAAAGTTCTGGATGTGCAGTACCAGTGCCAGGTGAATCGCATACCAAAGGTATTGCCCATGGTAAGCACCGCTCCGGGCGCTGCCTTAATAAATAAAAAACATTTCTTCTATCGTTTCATGTCTCTGGGTCGGCGGCACAGCGCATTAGCAACATGGAAAAAGGCCAATGTGCAACGGTGGCAAGCTGGGAGGGTGGCGCCGTGCGGTCACGAAAGGCCACACAAACTCCGACAACGCCGGGCCAGGTGAGTGTTGCCTTGGCACACATGCCACGCTCCTTTGGCCACATTAATATCGATAATCAAATCGAAGTCCATTATATAATACGTAATAACTTAACAATTGTCTCTATCGTTTGCCACAGACATCGCTGCAGGGCAATGGCGGCCCGCCAAAGCCGGCGCGTCGCCAAAGCCTTCTGTCTGTCGCCTGGACGGACACGGATACGGGCGTCGAGAAGATAATGTGGCGAGAGATTGATAAAGTCTCACGCGCCGTATTCCCCATTCTGTTCTTCGTCTTTGTCCTGCTGTATTGGCCCATATTGTTGATGAAGTCGTCCTAGGATTTGGGGAGCTCCAGAATACACTTTTCTGGACTCCGTTAACAAATCGAACTCAACTCCCAGCAAATTGGAACGCGGACTTACGCTACAATATCTATGTGTTGGCGTGGCTATCTAGACATCTATATCTATAGGCACACACACACACACACATGGCATCTTTAACTATTTGAATATATCTATTACTATGAGCATATCACGTCACACATGACATGGTACCTACGCAGTTACCTTTCCATAATACTCTCTCTCTCGTCAAGTCGATGAGAAACAAATATTTGACAGTTGCTCATCAGCATATACTCTCCCTCTATATACATATAAATATATATTTATTTTTGTATTATTTAAACTTTTGTTAGACTTCGAGAGCCTCAAAGATTTAACTAACTAATAACTACTTTGCTTTGTAGTTATATCGCGCTAGCTGACTGGCAAATACACTTATCAAATATTCTATTGAGAACTGTTTTGGATTCGATTAATCCTATCCAAGTAAGTTCCTTCGATAATAATTCATTTAAAATAATCAATTCAACTACAAACAATAAAAACAGTTCAAACAAATTATTATAACAAATCCGTATCGGCTTACATACAGCTCGCTTTATGCATAGGACATAACTTTTTATAAACAAACTCTATATATATATATATTATTTTTATTGACATTTTAGCCTTGATTGACTTTCATTTATTAATTATAGATAATAAAAACTAGATATACATATATTCTGTAAGCTTAAGAAAATCAGCCAGAAAATGAATTGGTGCTTTGAAGAGATAATAAAATTGATTGAGATAAACCTCTAAGGATCACGGAACATATATTCATACACACTTCGTAATGTAAATAAAGTAGTAAAAATGCTATTTAGGAATTTTTACACACTTTTAAGGCGAATAAACAATTTAGCGCTAAATTTTGAGCTGTGGCTTTATATACATATAAATATATATATATTTTATATATTTACCTGTAGTTAAAATAGCGCACACTCAATAAAGGCTAGGAGTACGTACATCTATGTTAAATATATTTCATAAGGTAAACAAGTTAAAAGGAAATTATATATTTTGTATAACAAAAAATTGCTGTAAATATAAACAAAAACAAAAACAATTCATCTTCACAGAGATACTTATTTATCGTAGATTCAAATATGATATTTGTGTACATAAATTTCCATTGGTTAAGTTGTTTTTTTTTTCATAGAGGTTTTTTATATACAGAGAATCGAAACTGTTAATTATGCTCTATAAAATTTAACCTCAAAGCTTGAAACATATCTAAAATAAAAAGTATTCAAATATGCATGTAAAAAAGTAAATAAATAAAGCCAATTGGTCTTCACCAAGGAACACAAAGTAAAGACAAGATTTCATTAAAATTACAATTTAATATGCGTATTCGTAGGATCTATTATAACAACAAGCCTAACTACTTTACACCTATGCATCGTCCTTGTCCTCCTCATCGGACTCTTCAGTATCTTCGTCGCTTTCCTCGCTAAACTCGCATTCCAAGCCCTTGTCCTCTGTGCTCTTTATCAACAACATTTCACTGTCACTATCCTCGTTTGTTGTCTGCTCTGCCTCAGCTCCTTTTGCTGCTTCTAGTTGCTCCGCCCTGTCCAGGAGTACACGTATCGTGTACTTATTGTAGTCGCATCTGGAATTTGATTAATAATTTAGTTAACAAGCTGAAATCTTCTAAGCCGTCAGCTTACATTTTGTTGAGCATTTCATATTTGCGCGAAATACTTTCATGTAGGGCGAGCAGAGCCGTGTGCTGGAAGACGCCGTCACGATTGCCATGGGTATTCAGCAGGCAACAGCTCCACTGCAAATAGAACTCGATGTGGGGTGAGGACTGCAGGAGGCGCGCCAGATGTTGCAGCAAACGTTGGGCGATGTCGGGCGATAGATCCGCGCAAAGTAGCTCAACTGTAAAGCAAGAAGACATTCACTTCAATATATGCAGCCACGTGCTGTAATCCAATGGCAATCAATTTACATATTTCCCTTCTTTTTTCTGTATTATGCATGTTTCAATTTGTGCTACCTATGCCAGTGGCCGAGGGGTTTATTAACAATGTAGCTAGCTATACAAATAGTTCCGCCTGTCAAGCGCTAACCGGTCATATTAAAGCAGAAAGAACCTTGAAACTGTTTATTAACAGCAAAAAAGAACAAACAATTTGCACATTCGATCGAAACGGAGTTAGGTAATAAGCTCCTTGAATATAAGGGGTAAATCCAACTTCCATTTATTTTTAGACATGCGAAAAATGCTAAAATGGCAATCGATTATAAAAATTAAAAAAAAAAAAACACTGAAAGAAACAACAAAGGCTGTAAAGCTGACTCCTTTGGCAAGGTCGAACTATGTACATAGGCAAGTTTTGTGCATTTTTGCATAGTATTCGGGTAATTTACGAGCACTTACTATCCCTGTATGGCACGCGTTCTAGCACTAAGGTCACTAAATTGGGCTCGTTCAGTTTCAAGGACATGACAAGCGCCTTGGTGAACTCTTCGCTCTTCAGCGCCTCGTGTACTGCCTTAGGTGTCACTTCCAGCGTCAAATCAAACGGATCGAAAACCACGCCTACGAAACAACAAATTATTTAAACAAATTACAATAATAACTCTAGTTAGCTGATTGTTCACCCTTGTCTAGCGCGTATATGCAAAGTCCTTCGGTGCCAGCAGCTGCAAACGCTTGACCCGTGGGCGAAAAGCGAACAGAGAAGACCCTCACCTCAGGCTTAAAGCGCCTTGAGGACATGTCGCCTTTACGTACGCCAGGCAAACGAATTGCCACTTTGCCTCCTTCGCCTTCCTCGCGTTGTTCAACCAAAGCCATGTTGCCAAATTCACTCAGATGCTTTCGGCTAATGAACTCCTATAAATTAGAGGTAGGAATTAACTCAAGGTTCTCTGTGTCCTAAGTTTATACTCACATTCAAACCATCCAAACTGTGATTTTGTGTTATTTCAAACTTCTTCAGCAGAATCGCCTCACGTACATTATAAATGCAAATATTGGCGGATTTTCCCGCAGCTAGAATGCATTCTCCGTCCGCGGAATACTCTATTGTTGAGAAATAGCTGGGGAAGAGGATTGGGTAAAGCATTTGGTATACAATTAAGTTATTTTTACCCACTTCGACTGTGCGTTTTTCTTAGCAGTTACAATATCAGTCTCTAGTCGACCGCTACCCAAATCACTGCGTCCCTCAATTGTGTTCACTTGTGTTGCAGATTTCACATCAAAGATTGTTATGTTGCCAACGAGCGTTGCAACAGCGACCTGGACAAGGATATAAAGCATGAGGTATTTGACATATAAATACATTATATATGCAATCCATTTACCTCTTCTCCACTGGGACTGAATGCTACGCAGGTAACATCGGCGAGCGCATCTATTGTTTCGTGCTCACTATTGCTCTCCAAGCAATTCCAAATTTTCACCGTCTTATCCCAAGATCCAGAAATGAGTGTTGAAGACGTGGCGACTGGCGAGAAGGCCACAGATGTCACTGGGCCCTCATGGCCGCTAATCACTTCCAATAGTTTTCCCGTCTTGATGGACCACAAAAATATCTCAAAGACATCTTGACCACCAGCAACAACCAACTCTCCAGAGTAGTCTATGGCCACGCATGCGAACTGAGTTGGAGTTGGCGATGTGAATGTCCTGAAGTTGCGATATCTATACAAATATAAAGCAACATGTTATTAGTTGAAATTGATTAGAATTCCATCAAAAACGGGACAAACCTTATGATATCGAAAGCACGCACTGTGCCGTCCAGTGAACTGCTAACCAGAAACTTTTTATTACGGCTAAACTGTACACCGGTCACACCACTTGTGTGCTCACTGAAGGTCACGAAGCAGAAGCTGCTTTGAGTGTTCCACAGCTTTACCTTGGAGTCCTCTCCGCCGGTAGCAATGTATTGGCCATCTGGAGAATAGCCTATGCAAGTCATCTCACTGCTGTGACCCTGCTGCTTCATAATGTACTGCTCGCTTTGCCACTCCCACACCAGCAGTTGTCCGATTTCGCGTGAGGCCAATGCAACCCAATCGCCAGTGCTATTAAATAGGGCTGCCGATATGGGATAGTCGGAGATGCTCAGCGAGTGTATCATATTGACGTCGGGTAGCTCATACAAGTAGAAAGCGCCAGTGCTAAAGGCGACCACTAATACCTTTGTGTGCCGATTATAGTTGGCCGCTGTCAGCATCGCATCGCGTTTCTCCTTGCGCGGCTCGTTGGCTAAATAGTGCCGTCCGAGCTTTTTGTAATAGAATGGATGTGACTTCTTAGCGCTTTCGTCTTTGACTTGGTTCTGGTCCTCGGTTTCATCTTTCACCGCCATCTTTTGCTTTTCTAGATTGCCTTCGATGTCATCTTCGGATTCACTGTCTGATTGTGTATTGGGAGCTTTTCGTTTGGCGAGAGGCGGCAAGGGTTCCGCTTTAGCTTGACTGACTTCAATTAAGTCTGACGGTTCAACGCTACATTCCCAGAGGCAGAGTTGTCCATTCCGGCTGACAGTGCTCAAGTGCAAGCTGTTCAATTCGAAAAAGCACGAGACTATGGCATCCGTGTGTCCGCTCAAATTATAAGTTCGAAAATTACGCGTGTGATTGACGGCGCATATTTTAGTGGAGCTATCACGACATCCGATGGCCAGAAGCTTGGAATCTGTCGACCAGTCCAGCCATGTGATATCGTCGTAGCCGCCGAGGAAACTACGCTTCAGTACAAATGGATTGTATTCGCCAGTTAACTCTCCCGGAGAGCAAAAAATTAGCACAAGATTCTCTCTTGCGACCGCAAAGTACTTGCCATCAGGACTGAAGGTAATGCACTGCACACCCGTTTGGAATTTATGCCGATGTATAACCGTGCAGGAGACCATGCTGATCAACTGTGCATTGCCCTGCTCATTGACAGCTATCAACAGGCTGCCATCTGGAGACAGGGCAATGTTTGTGTAATTGTAAAAGGATTCCAAGGATAAAGTCCGCGACTTGTTGCTGAATTATAATAAAATAAAACATGAATTATTGTGGACTTCTAAGAATAAGTGTGAATTTAGAAACATACTTCTTGAGATCGTATACCGTTATCCGGTTGCCCACAGGACTGATAACTGAATTGCCGTCAGGAGTGAACACCAGATTTCCATTGCGATAAATTGTGCCCAACAAATTCGAGAACTGGAAATACATGAAAATAAGCATTACAGACTTTTTAAATTCTATATTACTCACTTTGTAAGAAAACTTCATATCGCAAGTTTAATTTACAGCTTAAGAAATTGAAATTATGCGTTTAAGCGGTAACTATAAACAAAAAGCACTGCACGTGTTAACCTGTGGGACGCTAAAATACTAAAGATTCGATATACAAATACTATCGATTGTTGTAGTACTTTGTTGTATGATAACGCAAAACATCAGCTGATAAATACAGTGCTGCCACCCCGTGTCACCTTATTCAGTGAATTTCATACAAGCCAAAAGAAGAAAGTTGTCTGAATTTTATAAGATAAATATAAATTTGCTGTAAGTAAACAATGGAAAAAACAACAACAGCTTCGGAAAAGTTAGCCGAGCGCAAGGCACGCTTACTCGAACTGCACAAACAGCGCCAAGAGGCGCGGACACAAAACCATCAGGAAGTCGTCGCAGAAGATGCACGTAAAAAACTGCCAAGCAATTGGGAAGCACGCAAGCGACAAGCAGAATGGCTTCTCGCAGATGACAAAGCACGCGCTGAAGCAAAAGCGGCTGGAAAGGATTACGAGCGTCTGCAACTGCTCCAAGTGTCTGCCATCGATGCGGAGCGCATAGAGAAAAAGAAGATACGCAAAGATAATCCCGACCTGGGCTTCTCCACATACGAGGCGCAAACAGCACGGCAATATAATCGCTTGGTTAAAAATATGCCCGCTCGCGATATGGCCAAGTATGAGAAACAAAAGGCAGAGCTGGGCGACGCATTTTATGGCGGCCCTCACACAACAATTCATTTGCAAACCAAGGACACTCCTAGTGCCATTAATAATATGGTGAAGGACTTGGAGCAGCAAATCGATCGCAGAAAGAAATACTCTAGACGTCGTATTTATAACGATGATGCCGATGTGGACTTCATTAACGAACGTAATTCGAAATTCAACAAGAAATTGGATCGCTTCTACGGCGAACACACGGCAGAAATTAAGCAAAATCTGGAGCGCGGCACAGCTATATAAACCTCATTTTATAGCAATAATATAATGTATATCTTAAACATAGTCTCTTAAGTTCGTTTGTACCTAAAATACTATACATACATATATATACACACATATGTACATGCCTATACAAAAATTGTGTTAATTTTTAGCTTTAAATAGATAAATAGCAAAGGAAACTAACTAGTGCTGAGAAACGGTTTTTTAACACTCTGAGCGAAAGAACAGTTAGGATGCGCAGCAGTATTTTTGTTTACATTTAAAAAACTTGACTCAACGATCGAGTGTGAAAAATAACTCAGAGAAAGACTCAATTTTGAGTGGGCGGCTCGCCCTATATAAGGTGAAGCCAGCAGCAGAATTTCTTCAGTTGAATTCGTGACCCGCTGGTGGTCGGACGTGTGGTGCAGTTTCCTCCTTTTCTGTGCGTGTGGTAAATATTTAAATAGTTAATAATATTAAGCATTGTTTTGTAATAGTTTATATTTATTATAATTAAATAATAGATAATTGTCTTAATAATAGTAGTATGACTAAGACAATGATTATTATGCTAATGATTATTGTAAATAGTGAATAAGAGTATAATCATTATGATAATGATAAAGTTAGAACTATGATCATTATGTATAGTCATCCGAATTGTGGTTGTGTTAATGATCAATAAGAATAAAACATTGTTTATTATACATATATAATAATAACGATGTATACAAGATTAATAGCATAGGCTAGAGAATCATCATCATCATCATCATCATCATCATCATCATCAACATCATCATCATCATCATCATCATCATCATCATCATCCCATCATCAACATCGTCACAAGATCGTCACATCGTCACAACATCGCCACAACATTGCCACTACATCGTCACAACATCGTCACAACATCGTCACAACATCGTCACAACATCGTCACAACATCGTCACAACATCGTCACAACATCGTCACAACATCGTCACAACATCGTCGTAACATCGTCGTAACATCGTCGTAACATCGTCGTAACATCGTCGTAACATCGTCGTAACATCGTCGTAACATCGTCGTAACATCGTCGTAACATCGTCGTAACATCGTCGTAACATCGTCGTAACATCGTCGTAACATCGTCGTAACATCGTCATAACATCGTCATAACATCGTCATAACATCGTCACAACATAGATCGGGGCTTTTCAAAACATGTACAAAGAAAATACTGCAGTGCTGGCTGGTATATTACCGACTATTATACTTAATACTAATTTTTCAGTATTTATTAAGACCACTTTGCATAAGGTTTGTTTACATATTTCATTGGAGTTTAAATGCTGCAATCATCAATGTTATTGGTATATTAACAATTTTCTCACAGTGAAGTAGGGTACGTGGTTCGGGCCACAGACACAATGCACAATTTTAGCGCACGGGAAAAGTACTTGATATCAAATACATTAAACTGCTTGCCTATTATACTGCAAGGACGTGCAGTGCTTATAGATCTGCAAAATGAGACATCCGTGGCGGGGATCATTAGTATTGCTGACGGCCATATGACCTGCGAGCTAACCGCTGCAGTTTTCATCGATCGTAATGGACAATGTCATGCATTCGATAATTTTATGATACGCAACCGAATGATTCGCCTCCTGCATGTGCCCGCGGATCTAGACATCAGACATGAGCTATCGCAGCTGCAGCGCAAGCCCACTAACAGGACCAGGACGAAAACCAAGCGCACGTTCAAGCAGAAGCGCGCAGAGGAGCGACACAAGGAAACTCTGGAGACTATTAAGACTCAAAGAGACGGTGATAAGCCAAAGGAAACATAAAATTGATTTAGATTGCGAATAAACCATTTTTAACAATCGTTTTGTTTAGTTTAATATATTTATTTGAATTCCCTTTTCACATTTATTTATTTGCTGTGCATATAGTAAGTATAAAATATTACTTTGCCTCCTTCTGCTCCTTGTATTTGTAGTGCAGCTCCATGCAATCTGTTTCTGATATTTTAATCCAACCATTTTGGGTCATGTGGTATACGCGGACTATACCGCCGGAGTAGGCATCACGGAACGTTGCATGGTAGATGGCACGGCGACCCAGCTCCTGTGCTTCTGCATCTTTCAAATCCCAATGGTAGCCAGAATCGAGAACACCAAAAGCATAAATCGAACCGCTGCCAACTGAAAAAACATTGCCGGGAGTGCGGGATCCTTCCGAGTCTACATAGTACAGGCCAGGTCCGTGCTTGTCATAGCCAGCTAACATCATGCCCATGCTTAAGCCCATTCCTTTGTACTCGTGAGCAATGTTGGCCATTATCTTGCTGGCGGCTGCCACTGAGATGCGTTCCTTGTTTCGCAGCTCATGCAGACGGCATTCCTTGGACAACACGCGATCCCAGTAAACGCAGTCAGCAGCACCACCGGCCAATGTGCCAAGTAAGAATTGGTTTATTTCCACAATCTTTTTCATCGACTGCGAGCCAATGTATTGACCGCCAGTCGCACGCGAGTCCACGGCCAATATGACGCCGCCTTGGTACTTGAAGCCCAACGTTGTGGTGCCGTGTTCAAAGTTGATCTTAACGCCACTTTTATCAGCATTTGCTTGGATTTTGTTTAAGTTTTCAAGTGGCTGAAGGATGTTGTATGCATTAAAAATCATATTTTATTAAATCATTTTTCGACTCACATTCTCGAATGGAGGAGCCGCCAATGTGTACGGGTTTGCAATGTTACTGGTGAATGCATTAAGCTCGTTCTCCACTTCACTCGAACACCAGGCAGATGGCCTCATATATGAAGCATTGGAAATTTTACAAATTTCTGCTAGTGCCATTTTATTATTAACAATACCTCTGCTTTAGCTTGCCGACGCAAAAATTAAAACTTATTTTGTGATGAGATGACAGAAAATTGACAAAGATTACCCAGCACTGGAATAAATATAGTTTATGGGCACCCTAAACACTTTAACATTAGCTAAAAAGCTATTAACAGCGCGCGCGCTCTCAGGTTCGTGGCGAAAATTGGTCGTTATTCAATTTTATTTTTAAATATTTAAATGTAAGAATAGATAACATTGAAACTTTAAACTCCAATATAAAACGCAACTATAAAGTATATCAGAAAATGACGCGTCAAAACATTTAAGCTGATCCATGATAATTGAGTTCGATAACAAACGTAATGCCGATGATCTTCGATAAGTCTATCTTGTAGGTGACAACCATATACAAAACCTGTTGCCAATTTTGCAATTCGCCTCAATTTTCTCTTCTATTTTCCTTTAGGCCTGGCTTAAAGCCAAATTAACTCTGGGCGTACACATAATGTTTCGTTTTGCCAGTTGTTAATTAAAAGTTGTCATTTTAAAATAAATAAAACGATAAACGCTCCGAAAGTAACGTATAACGTTTAACGGATCAAAATCAAACATCGAATCAAGTTGTAAATTGTAAGAATGTGTGTTATTTCGCTGCAAAGCGGTCAACCTCAATTAGCAAAATATTGCTGTGTGTATTTATGTGCATATGTGCCAATAATTAAAAAGAAACGTAATTAATTCATACATAAAAAGCAAAAGAAATAAAGCTTAGTAGAGAAATCTTAAGGAAAAACTTTAAGTATGTAAATTTGTGCGTTCAATGGCATGTTATATGTGTGTGTGTGCAAGTGTGTGTGTGAGTAGGTACTTGCGTGTATGAATTCAGTACACTAACAGTGCAATGAGTTTCAACTACGCACTACATACATATATACATACATACGCACACTTGTAATAAAAGTTGGTTAATTGAGTTTTGACTATTGAAACGTCTTGTTATATTTGAATGTGGTTTTAGACAATGCAGCATGGATCACAATTTGAAACAGGAAGCCTTGCCGAATGCCATTTCCGGGGTATGTGCAAAATGAAATCGTATCGGTGCTTGATTGTATGTTTTGTTATATGCATTCAATTTTTTAGCATGACTCCAGAAACTGGACGGCATTGCACGAAGCCGTTGCTGCAGGAGATGACAGACGAGTGCAAATTCTGCTGTCGAGCAATGCGGATCGCCTGGCCAGGGAATCGAATCAGGGCAACACACCATTGCACGAGGCGGCCAGTCGCGGACTCAGTCGCTGCGTTAAGTTGCTCTGTGCACCGCCGTCCGCCAAGACACAGCACAAGGAGCAGAAGAGCAGGCTGAAGACAAGAGTAGCCAACACGATCGAAGCTCTGCACAACAGCACGCTGAGCATTATTAACAATGAGGGCTTATCTGCGCTTCATTTGGCTGCCCAGAATGGGCATAATCAGAGCTCCAGGGAACTGTTGATGGCCGGCGCAGATCCCGATGTTCAGAACAAGGTGAGTTGTATTATCCTTCTTTAATTAGTTTATATATATATTAATGGGCATTCAACATTTTCTGAAGTACGGCGATACTGCGCTGCATACAGCCTGTCGCTATGGCCATGCAGGCGTCACTCGGATTCTCCTTTCGGCCCTGTGCGATCCCAATAAGACGAACCTGAATGGAGACACTGCGTTGCACATTACCTGCGCTATGGGCCGACGGAAGCTAACACGGATTTTGCTGGAGGCAGATGCTCGCTTGAATGTGAAAAACGCGCAGGGCGATACGCCGCAAAGTATTGCGATCAGAAAGAATTATCGTGAGATCAATGAAATTCTAAGCACGCCAAAGCGTATACGTAATAGAAGAGAGAAGCCAAAAGATACTGATAAATCGGCGCCTGCTCAGGATAAAGACAAAGATAGTGTAGATAAGGCAATCAATTGGTCACCCTACGGCTGTCACTATTTCCCTGATCCGCGTTCATTTCCATCGCCCAAACTAGAAACCTTACCCAAAGAGCCGCTGAAGCAAGGCGAGCAGTATTTCCTTGACCTCGCCGGACACATACACAAGGGTCCCGTTAGCGTGGGCAACACCTGCTATTGCGGTCCCTTCTTCCGGCACATAGAGAATAAACTGAACTGTAATCGGAAAAGCTTAAAGAAGTATGTGCACAAGACAAAGGAGCGGCTGGGCCACAAGGTCCAAGCACTGGCAATTAAGACGAATGATCAAATCGAGCAACTGACTCGAACAATGATCGAGGATCGCATTCGCTGTGAGAGCAAGCGGCAGTACCTCAACGAATACCTGCGCCGTGGACAGCCATTTCGCTCCACATTTGACAATCAGACTAAAACTCAGAGGGTCGAACGCACGTTGTCTCGATGCCGAAGCCTGGACTTGCTTGAAAGTAATTTTGAGAGCGGCAAAATGTCCAACTCGAAGAGCGTTGACATTCTGGAGAACGAAAATCAAACAGTAGTCGATATTGTATACCATTCGCAGTCGAAGGAAGCGCCCGGTGAGAGCGATTCAAATGAAGATTCTCAATCGAATTCGAGCATTGAAGTTACCGAGAATCGAAATGATGTGATGAACACAGCTGCTCTTTCGGCAGCTGAGGAGGAACTGAAGCAAACGAAATTGAATGAACTGAAGCAGGACTTCCTCAAGGTATCGGAGCGACTTGGAGATTTGCTAGAGAAAACCACTCTCATCATGGAGCGAGACAATGAACAGGAGAATAAACGTCAGCTCTGCTCTCTGTCGCCAGAGCAAAGTCATCCATCCATGTACAGTCCAGAGAATCCGTGTCTCCTACTGGAGAATAAAGACAATGCCAATAGTCCGAGCTACGACGAGTATACAAATGTACAAAGACGTTATCCGAACTCAAGTGAAACGTCTAACCCATCTCAAAACTCAAACAGTTGGGAGTTTGAAACGACCCCGCCAGACGCCCAAAGGTATTACCATTGCATTGGTAGAGGAGAAACCATGCTGAACACGGTAATTAAAGCACTACGGAAAGATGCCGCCTTTACGGATCACAACAAGGACGACGTGACCTTTAATCAAAATGCAGATAGAGGCTGCGGAGACAAGTTACTCTACAAGGAGCAAGCTCAAAGCACACCCTCTCCATCTCCATCGGCGTCATGCAGCACAGATGCCGTCTTTCAAGCGCAACAGTCACACTCAAGGTCCATACACAAATCCATATCGAATCTGATGAAAAGACAGCCGCTTTGCTTAGAGGATAATTACGCTGTCAATGCAACTCTTTATAACCCCAATGCCATGAGTATTGGCCAAGCAGACATTCCACATCACGCAGCTGGAGGCGCACACTTGAGGCAAAACTCCAATGAAGCTGCTGGAAAAGTTGAAATTAAAAACAGCGAAATAAAATACCTAAAGAAATCGAATACGGGCCAAGTAAAGGACATGGTGGCTCAGTTGCAGGGCAGGATTGATTCAAACATGCAGTTCGAGAATGATGTCGCCTTGAGCTACGATCTGCCGCACTCACAGATGATGGTGCCCAATTTGAATAACAATCTCCACAGCATATCTACTCCGGAAAACGGTTGTCAGCTGCCGTTGCAGAATCCTTCATCACTGTATGCAGCGCATATGAGAAAAGCTCATTACGCGCCATTCGGTGCAGCCGAGAGGCACATACCCAAAGATGCGTACTTTCATGATCTTCCAAATCGATCACGAAATCTGCAAAGAACCCAAAATGTTTACTCTGGCGACTTGGGAAACGTCAGGCTGCCCGTTGGCTATGCAGCACAGCAAGAGTATCGCACGCCCAATTCTCAGTCTCAATCCCTCCATTTGCAGCCACACGATCATGAGCCCTTGCACGGGGAGTACGTTAGCCGAGCAGCTGCTATGACTGACACTAATCAGCTGCAATATCCACACGGAAATGTGGCGCACAATGTCAACTCGATACGATCCCAGGCTATGGTTTTTCGAAATCAACTCCCGCATAATGTTTTAAACAGTGATGTGGACATCGACGTTGATGAAATCGCATCTGTGGGCTTATACAATAATGTCTCCAGCTTGGTTTGAAACACATCGAGCAAGTTAATAATGTAAATAATATAATTGTGCAGATTCTGTAGCTACCATTTTGTAAATAGTTGTCACAATGTATTTATCATAATTATTTATATGTATGTATTTATACGTTATCCTGTTAGTATGTTGCACTCTACCAGTTGTTTGTCAATCATATTCTGGACGTAGCAACGTTTAACAGCAATAATTTTTGTTTTAGAATTCGCAGCATTTGTTTTTGGCACTATTTGTTGTCTGAAAATATATGTATATGTATATGTATGTATGCATGTACTTATTTTGTAGGTTTTTTTATATCTTCACTTAGGCGTACAACTATGAATAACTACGTATAGAGTTATTATTGAATTAAAATATATTTTCTTTAAAAAATTTTTAATATAATAGTATTAATGTATGTGTAAATATCAGAATGTCAAGTACATATTTATTGATAACAGATCGTTTTGGTGTTTTGATAGACATGCGGCTTTCGACATTGTAAAAATAAATTTTTAAATAAAATGTATACAAATTAACTAATGATGACAACTTTGATATCATTTAACTACATATAATATGCTGGCTTTGCTTGTTAATATTTTAGTTTTTTTGTTTAGCAACTTCTTAAAAATGGTTTCTCGATGTTTAATCATTAATTCAAAATTCTATAAATGATGCAGTATGTGTACTGCTGCTGTCTTCTGATTACGTACACTTATCGGCCACTTAATAATATCTTAATTCTGAATAGTCGAATTACATGTTACAAGTTAGCCAATAATTTATTCGCTTTTAATGTAGCCTAATATAAAACTATTAACATTATTTATGATTTTGCAAATTGTTCTTTCTTTCTTGGCTTTAATGAAATGAGTTGCGATAACCCGGCTCTTCTCAATTTAACTTAACAATATTGTTGGTCTTCAGACAGCAGGGATGAGTTATGCTCGCTTGGGACTTTGCAAGTTACGAATATATTTTAGATCAGGTAATGTCTCAAAGGGGACTATTGTCCGAGTCTTCGCGCTCTTGGATTGTTGTTATACTTTGCTGCAAGGCATTCGGCGTTAGCCACTCTCTAAAATAGACGAAGATCATATGTCAAATTATATATAATTATATATAATAGAATCTCTCTCAACTACTCACTTTGGTAGGCATCTTTGTAAAAATGGCACACAGGAGCTGAAATGTGCTAGACGGTTCACCCAGCTGGGTATCTCTTGGCCGCAAAGTATCTGGCGATAATGAGACGAACAAAAGAGAAATTATTACAATGGCAATTGACTTAAATCCGGTCACGACTATCGTCCTAACCTGTGTCAAGTTTCCCGAAAAGTGATTACAATTATTGTTCATAAGATGATAACGATCTCCACGAAATTGGTTTCCCAATTCCTCGACAAGTCGACGCACTTCCTCGTATGTAAAATCGGTACAGCCTATTTGTATACTCTGTCGGAACTGGAACTGTTCGCCCAGTTCGTCGTGGTCACGAGGTGTTATTTCGAAAACACCAGTAAAAGGAAACGGATGGCCGCCGTATGCAAATTCAGTGCCAAATGCTTCTACGCCGGAATGAAATACGCCCAGACCAATTGATGTGGTATACTCATTAATCCAGTACTGTCAACAAGATAAACAAACTAATTAACTTTATTGGGCAATCATAAACCGCATCACCTTACCATGTCATATACGTTAAGAATAACTGGTTCTCTTGTGCCCATATTGGATGGCAAGAGCTCCTCATTACCATCTTTTGGTACACTTAGGCAGCTCGGAAACGACAGGTTGCACGGCAGCCCGTTGGAGAACATTGATTAAATGCGTTGTTGGTTTTCTTTCTACACTAAAATAAAAATTTACCAAGTGAGTCAATAATTTTGGAAAGAGTTAGTGTTGCAACTTGACTTGAGCTTAGATGCATTCCTACTGTTGTACGCATTTACGATTGTTTATATTTACATGTATATGCACAAAAGTACACTTTTCTATGCACATATGTTCAAGTGCATACATATGTATACATGATATATATACTGAATCAGCTCCATACTCATGCATACACACACACACACACGCATGCACATTTTTGTATCATAAATGTGTCATACCAACCAACTTACACGAATAAGAGGACGCTAATATCCCATAATCCAGTGGAAGTTAACAATTTGTAATTGACCAGTGTTAAGAACTTTGCATTTATTATGTTTATTTACTTCTGCGTCTGGTTTAAATTTAGACAACAAATTTTTTTGTTTATGGATTGATTGTGTAGAGTTGTGTCGGCCCAGTTTAGTACCGTTCATTGAACCACTTCTTATCGAACCACCGAACTTGGTGAATCGATTGCTTGATTTGAAAAATATCGAGCTTATTTTCATTCAAAAATCGGTTAATTGCGGCTTTTTAATTAATGTTAAGAACCATTTTAATACCTCAATTTCAATTGTAGAAAGTTAAGATAATAAATTAATTAATATTATTATTAGTATTTAATTTATACTAGAAATATATGTAATCAACAGAATATGTAGCTGAAAAATTGTTTATGTTCTTCAAGCATTGTATTTAAATTGTATTTATATTCAAATTTCATTCTTGTTCTGCATATGAATATCAAATAGAGCTTCACAGCTGAAATATGCTAGAACAAATTCTATGTTAGAATTATAGAGTGTAGTAGATAACTACCGAGGAAGTAAACTATTTTTAGGATCTGAAATAAACAAACTCTTTTCGAAGGAGCACGAACAGCTGTTGTCACATAGGAGACATATAGACAACTGTATACATTTGGATGGATATACGCATTAACCTGTAAGTGCTTCACGATTCTGCGCATGTCAACGAATTTGAATTCAAACAAACAACACGTGCTAACTGTAGAAGCTTTTGGCGTCAATGAGAGGATAGAAAAAGAAAAAAGAAATTGCCGGCTCTCCCAGTCGTCAGGTCTCTCATACACAATCAATGGTCAGAGTGTTTGAGCACACACATCCTCGCCCAAGCTCTGGCTGTGGTCTATGCCGTGGCTCTCAGTCTTGGTTGAGCGATGCGGAAGAACGGTTAAGGTTGAGTCATCCAAGAGGACCTTCAAATAAGGAAAAAAGTGCAGCAAATATTAGTGTAGAGATAAAAAAAAATGAAAAGAATAGGAAAACGTGTGGAATCCTAAACATATACAACATAATTTATGAATTAAATTGAAGCTTTTAAAGTTTATTAAATATGAAAAGAGATAAAAAATATTTTTGTTAAAGTGCATCAATCAAACACCTTAAAGATAAATTCTTTTGTACAAAAAATATTGTGAATGTGATTATTTTTTGGTGCAATGTAAGAGTGAAAATGGAAAATTCACCGTCCAGTTCCATAGAGAAGCAAATTGATCATTTTCTGGAGCATTTTAAACGGAGTGCATCCAAGGCCATCGACACGGAGTGGGGCAGCGGCTCGGATATCAACAATGGACCGTCTAGCAGCAGTCCTCAAAGGCAGCAGCCGCTGCAGCGCTTGCTGCAACGCACCAAAAGCAGATCCAGCTGTCTAGATGTATCGGAACTGTCGGGTGGGTTCTCCAAAATGTTGCACAGCGACAGACACAGCGCATTTAGTTCTAGTTCGAGTCATCATTATTTATTCTCGCTTACTCAAGGCTACTTCTACTGCCCTCACTCCACCCAACGACCCATACAAATTTATTGATTTTCCGTATTAATCGCTGCACTAGCAATTCGTTCGTCTTTAATGTCATGGCCTCGCCTCTGATTCCTAAGAAATTCTATTAGACTGTTTAGATGTCTTGAGCTGATAACGAAGTTTTATTGGCTGTAAACGAATTGGTCAAGCTGAATGTCGGTAAAAGATATATTTGTTATTTTTTAGTTATCTCAAATTTAATAGTTCTTAATAAAGGAAATGAAAGTTCTAATCGCATCGTATTCTTTTGAATATTTTCTTTGCTAGTGAAGGATTATGATTTTGATAAATTCAATATTTAAATTGAATGTATATCTTTAAACGCGTTGTTTCAAATTCAATATTTATATATTATCAATAATTATATATTATTATATATATATTATCAATAATTTCAATTTTTATATATTTTATAATAAACAAAGCCTTAAATATCTTAACATTTTTTAAGATCTGTTAACTACTCATAACTAACAACAACCATCATTACATAGTAGGAATTGCTTAATATTTAATTGCTGTAAGTCTTACAAATAAGAATTCAAGACTGATTATGTAAATATTAATTATATCTTAGCTCGTATAAGAAATTTAATATCTTTTAGTGTGCATAGAGTGATTTGGTTGCACGTCGTCTGCATATTGCTTATTCTTCTCTCATTTAGCTGCACTTAAATGGCCGCTCTTATGAAATACATACATACATATGGACGTAGAATGTATGTAAGTATGTATGTATGTATGTATGTATGTACATCTAGGTACTTAAATGCCTCTAAGTGTTACCCTCATTTGCATCTGGTATACCGTTGCAAGTGGGTTTCAATTTTATTTAGGGTAGGCGACGCTTATTTCTAATCTCTAGTTCTGACGATTCTCATTTGTTTTTCATTTTCATTTTCTTTTCTGCTGATTTTGCCTGTTGCTTTATTTAAAAGCCACGCTTACGTTAATGTGACCTTGGTGACAGCTATGAAATGAATGGTTATGCTTAATATATCGCATGTACGACATTACTTTGACTATATATTCATCGATCTTTCCTATAATTTTGAATAAAAAAAGCTAAATAAAGTTAATGTTTTTTAAAGTTGTTAGTTTATTTCGTATTTCAAATTGTCGGGCATATTTTTGCCATATCAATACTGCAGACCTTTGCAAAACAACTTAATGTTTATTTCCATTCGAAATATTTAGATCAAATTGAGTTTATTGTTTATAACTTTACTTGTGATTTTTAAATACAGTTAACACATACGGAAAAGTTCGTTCCGTTTGAATTTCGCATTCAACAGCTGATTTCTGCTCTGTTCTTGATCTTGTTATCGATAATTTTGTATATAAAAATGACACTGGAACTTGTTAGTCGCTGTTAAATTTTAAACTCAACACGAAGTTTTTAGTACAAATATACTTTACATAAAAGAGTTGAATGTTTTAAAAGTACAAGTTCAGAGTTTTCAATTAGCTTAAAAAATGTTTTGCACTTTGATTTGCATTGCTTTAGTCAACTGATCAAACTTTAACTGCTCACTGTTAAATAACAGCTCAGCTGATGTTAATGTCTGTCTTACTGTTATGTTATTTATATTAGTTCAGCTCTTCTTCTTTTGCGTAAAATATATACCCGGTGCCTGGTTGAAATATACAAATAATGTTTTTTATCTGCCGAGATATGTGTGTAAACATCAGTTTTTAAATGATTTGTCTCGCGCGTGTGTTACCTAACAGTGCAAATGCTTAATATATAACTATAAATATTTATAATATGTGTGTTTAAGTATAAATATATATGTAAATACTTTTATCTTATGTGTATATGTATCCAGTAGACAGTTTCGTGAATCGGTGATTGTTTCTGCAATGGATATTATGCGTAAATATTCTAAGAGTTTAACTTATACATCTTCATGATCATTTAAATACACAGCATAAGCCTCCCAAATCTGATCAAAGTGCACAAACGACATTTAAATACAAATCATGCATATTATTATGTGCACATATGTAAGTACACTTGCCATATAGAGAGTATCAAGTATATAGGGGCATTGTAACTGCCTAGCAGCCCTCATTGCCAAACTGATATGCTAATTATCAAGAGACTGTCGAAAAGGCAGTATATAAAAGTTGAATATTTGATAAGCTAGCAGCAAATTGTTTTCTTATTATTAATATTCACATAAACCACAAAGAGTTTACTCATCATTTGTAATGGTTTTTGTCTTCGGCACGTAGTATTTCCTATACCTATCACCTATTGGGGATCAATGCTCAATGCAGACACAGTCATAATGGGTCGTGCAATTACTAATTATATATATAAATATATATATATAGATATTGCAAAATGCGATGACGTTTATACCCATATATGTGTCACTAATTCATTTATTGTCATTTTACCAATACTCAATTGACATTTTCTCAATATACAGCTTTATAATTATCGTAATCCGTACACAATGTGTATACTATATAAAGGTAGTGTGTGTTCTAAATCATTATTTTAACTGTTATTGTACAAGTACTCGTTATATAGTATGTTTAGATAGGTCAACAGGGTGATCTGTTAATGCGATTGTCTATCAAAATACGTACATAGACGATAGACAACATCGAGAGTAAAGAGTAAAGTGCTGTTCCCTAGTATTATGAACTTTGTTTAGGCAAAAGCTACAAAGCAGCTTGACTTAATAAAAGCTTATATCACAGGCTTTCCTTTAATGGCAATTAAATAAAGACATGAATTGTCTGAAATTTTTGGGGCGTAACTAAATATTGATATTTTCAATATAAGTAAACGACTAGCAAAGTATATATATTAATCATTATTTAAATTATTATTAAATTAAGTTAAATGATTTTAAAAAGTAGGGAAAATATAGAGCAAAGTATATTTCTGATCAATGTGAAATAATAATAGTAAAAGCTTAAAAGAATATTTGTTATTGTGAATGCGCGAGGCTCCTGTGTGTTGGTTCTTTTATAAATTTATAAATAAATAGACAACTTTAAATCTAATTGCGTCTTCGTCTTAACGTAAATATATATATAAATATATATATATATATATGCCAAAAATAAAATCAGAGAAAATTGCACGGAAAAATCGGCAAAGATAAAAAAATTTGCTAATGCGAGTCGAGTATTGACGAATCATATGGCGGTAAAAGTAAAAGTTCAACTAAGTGAAACGACGGGAAATTTTAACTTGAAATAATTGCTTAAACACTATTAGAAAGGTTTTCACCCAAGCGCATGAGGCATGTCTATGGATGCTAACAATGAAAATGCCAGCTGAAACTAGTTTGATGATATAACAGTCTATACGAAATATTAATATCAGAACTGTTATAATCGGGAAGTACACAGAGTCTAGTCTTATCGCTGCGGAACTAAATACTCTGTGTATGCCATTAAAACCTTATCATCTATGGCATTGCAGGCAGATGTTATACGCTTTACAGACGACGACTGCGGCAGAGAGAAGCACGCATAGAACTTTTCAGATACTCTTCGTATCTGTATCTGTATGTGTGTGTGTGTAAGTGTGCGTGTGCGTGTGCGATGTTGTTGAGTATTACAATGAACTGACTCGTTTTCGCGCTGCTCCAATTAGATGCCAAACGATGTGTTGCAGCCAGCAGCACTCGAAATGCAGCTGAGATCGGATCAGCAGAGGAGAAACGACCGGCAAAGTGAGCATTGATGCTCTTCTCAAATTTTCAATTCTGGCTATCGAGCAATCACCTTCGGCTTTTCTCTGCACTCATCTTGTTTTATTCTCTTACGCAAACTTCGCTCTCTCTCGCTCTCTCCCTCTCCAGCTATCGCTATCTCTCAGTCGCACACTCTGTCTCTCCGCTTGGCAGCAGCTGATGACGAGGCCAACACAATGCTGCCGTTCCTCTACCAGAGTCTCATTGAATAGCGCAGTGGCAATACCATCTCATAGCATACGCTACGTTTCAGTTACTATAATTCTATTTTCTTTTCATTGTGGAATTGTGATATGTGTGACTCTTGACTGCCTCCGTTCGCGTTGCCGTGTGAAACATCTGTGCTTGAGGCTCAAAGCTGACATTTGTTCGTCATTTCCACAGACTCAGCTGTGTTGTGCAATTCCCAAATGGCGAACAGCCAGAAAGAACCGCATGTGGAGTACTTACACTGACTGATTGCCCTAATCACTGTTTGCACTATACGAAACGTATGCCCAACTATCCGCTCGCCAAGCGCTACAATGGGCAACCTGCAAACCTTAGCAGATTACGGTGTGTTTATGAAGCGGATGCGTAACTATTGTGAATCACATGTTGTCTCGTTCTTAATGGACTGAAATATAGTTTAATAACTGGCAAATAACTGTCAAATATGAGTGTGTAAACAGCTGATGAACCAGACTCATTCATGCTCGTTCAAGTTGTGAATAGAGTATATTAGTTGTGGGAGCGAGTGAACATAAAGCTACAGGAGGCGTGTTTAGCTGCCAAAGAACTACGAGAGTAGTTTGAAAACTTTGCAAACTTAACTTAGCGAGAAAAAATATAGAAACAATAATTAATATTATTTATTTATTTAATAGAAAACTGATAATGAAAATTGTTTTCGTCTATATTTTTCGATGCCTCTCAAACACTTTTCAGATCACTCTCGTACATCTTCTTTGCAAACAACTGTAGCTCTCATGGTTCAAGCGGTAAAAGCATTAAGCTTAGCCAGGGCTTTGAACTCTCTCAGGGGCTTGACCTTGGGGACGTTGTAACTTATATCGAGCATTACGATATTGCCTCGAGTTGTGAAGCTGAAGTCACTTAATGTTAGGACTGGGCCTGGGCCCTAAAGATGAAAAGTAACCAAAGTGTATATAAGGTCACTTATAGATAAGGTCAAACTGTTGAATTTTTATATAAAGTTTTCGATTTCTAACGAAGTTTATTTGGCAATTAACTTTGTCAGATGAACTCCTTTAAGAATCATAATCATATTCAAGCCTTCCTTCGAAGCTTAGGTCAGATTGTCCTACTCAATAGGAGTTACTCCGCACTCCACTCTGCATATATATACATATACACACAGTATATTTATGCAAGTCCAAGTGCTATAATATATACACACACGCACAGTCAAGCTGCGATACGTTGCAAGTTCACACGCAAGGTCGTTTGAAATGCATTCTTGAATAAATTATATGTTTTTTGTCCCATTGGTATACGATTTTCATGGCGTTTAAGAGTGCAGCAAAGTTCTTACTACAAAAAGTGGGCTTTTAATTATGATGTTCTGTTGAAGTGCATAAAAGTGAAATTTTCTCTATGAATTTAAATTTAATATGAATTTCCATTAGCTGCAGATATTTATGAATCTGAGCTGAGAGATATGCTCACAGTCTAATGCCACAAGTCAGTAAATATTCGAATTATAAATTCCATTTATTGATGAACGCATAAGCCAGGGTTCGTCTTCTACGTAGTTTCGATAATATTAAAGCAATTTTTCAAATATAAATACAAATTTAATAACTCATTTCCACCTGCTCATAAGCTCATTATCACGAGTCCCGCACGATATTTATCAATGCGGCAAAGCACGCACTCAAAATAATATAAAAGAAACGAAGAAAACAAACATTAAAATATGCGGAAGAGCTGAAAATTGAAAGATTCGAGAGGCAAGTGTTTCGATCATGAGCTGAAAATGGGTCAAAGCTAAAAAAGAAACGCCGCATCCATAACCTCTTCGCGCCAACGATGCACAAATCTATATATATATATTGTAAACACACAGACAGACATATATATCTGGCACTTACTATAAGTTATAGTATTGCTATATGCAATGCACAATGTATACAGATTTTTGTTGTAATATGAAATGAATGAAAATTGCTGTGTGTTTACAGAGTTTCGATTGGGAAACATTAGAATATTACAGAATTTATTTTGCGGCTAATCGCGATTATAGTATGGGAGTTCCGTGTTTAATGTTTATATTAAAAGAGGTGTAAATGGCAGAAGAAGGCCTAGCTGTGTCCATAAAGTATATATACTATTGACAACAGAAGTTGATTGGGCCTCGTCTGTCCTGCCATGATGATCTCATCAGGCATAAGATAGAAACCTTTATATTTTCTAAAATTTATTAAAATCGATTTTAATCGATAACAAGTTTTAGCTATTGCCAACAGAATCCTCTGAAGAGTATACACATAGCAAATTCCTCAAATTCACCCGTTGAACTCATTAGCTGAGTTGCTCCAAGTCAGGCAAATCAACTCAAAGATGTATTTTTGGCCCATTTAGGTTACATTTATTTGATTTTTTAAATTAAAAAGAAATCCATTTGGAATCTTTAGACATTCAGCAAATCTGAATTATTGTTCTAAATACTAAAATTCTATTTAAAAATATTTAGTTCTGCTGGGAGTTTACGGAAAACCTGGCCATTCATCAGTTTGTGTCGGATTCCTTAAGTTTCTCACTAAACTTCGGCAAAGTTTAGTCTAATATTTGACTTCTAATACTGTGTTGGACAGTGTAACTTGTTGAGGTATTTGCTGGCATAGAAAAGGGCTTATAATTGATTTACTTGATGTCATTCAGAGCCCCTCTGATGCAGTTTTAGCTCTTTTAGCTGTCATTTCACTATAATGATTTATGAATATTATTAATATTTTACAAACATTTTATGTTTCCGATTCAAATAGATAATGATGTGGAGAGCGCACTGGCCGAATCGCAGGCAATTGTGATGAGCGCATCGCAAACCCAGCAGCGGCAACAGCAGTTGATCAGCCAGCATATGATCGACTCTCAGATATCGGTCAGCAGTGGCGCTTCCATACAGACGGCGATATTTCAATCGCTCAGCAACTCGCCGGCGCACACGAACCGCAGCTCAGGACTGCTGCAGCATACAACGTCGACGATCAGCAGCAACTCGACGAGCTCCGTCAATTCACAGGGCATAGCCTATGCCGCTGAGGCAATCAGTTCGCAAAAGCCCGCCGAACAGATCAACTCGCTGCTGGAACACATTAGTCCTGCTCAAGCGGCTGCCGCCATGAGTGGCGAGGGTGTGCTCAACATAGCAGATGTGGCAGATCTGCTGCATCCCCAGCATGCGGTCATCACAGGGGGGCGCTCGCAAGAGGGCTGTCCCCTCATCATCTTTCCGGACAACAACAATTTCAATTCCATCGAAGAAGCCGACTATCAGAAGCTCATTTTGTACCTTAGCTCAGTACCATCGTAAGTGGAGCAGAATTTCGAATAGATTCATTTACTGAAGTCCCATTTCCAGCCTCCAGGATGCTGATCTCGGGTTCCATTTGATTATTGATCGACGCAAGGATCGCTGGACCTCGGTGAAGACAGCATTGCAGCGCATATCGGTACGAGAAATGAAGTCAAAAGTTTTATTGCATAATTAATAATAAAATCATATATTTTCAGATCTATTTCCCGGGTATTATACATGTGGTCTATGTGCTGCGTCCATCTGGACTCTTTCAGAAGGCCATATCCGAGGTGAGCTCGAAATTTTCCTCCAAGGACGAATATCGCTTTCGGCTCATCGTGTGCTCGGCTCTAAGCGATCTACATGAATTTGTCGACACAAGTCAGTTGACACCCGACATGGGTGGCACCTTAATCTATTCACATCACGAGTGGATACAGCAGAGGATTGTGAGTATTCACCAAGCGAAAAGGCAACTTATAAATTGATTAAAATATTTTGTATTTTACATTTCAGTCACTGGAGAAGTTCTCGAGTCTAACACATCAAGTTTCTGCCGAGTTGGATGTCTTTATACAAGCCATACATGACACAGAGTTTCCCAATTCCGTGGAGGCAACTAGGAAGTTACTGGAGGATCAGGGCGTTGACTATGCGCGTCTAAAGGTTTCCTTTCCAAGCTACTGCCCATGGACTGCACAACTAATCGAAATATTTCTTTTAGGATGAAATACTGGCTGCTGCCAAGCATGGGGAGACGCTGCTGGACAAAATCAAATCCAACGAGGAGCTCAAGGAGTTCTCGGAGCGCACCGGCAATGTCAGCGCCATTGAAAGGTATTTAGCGACCATGTAGAGTTGGTGTTCTTGAATTGCGCTGCTATATAGAGTATACTCTGGAGTAATTTGCTCGAAACTTTTTAACTGTGTCCCTAATTCTCAATTTATAAATCTTTAAACTTTAACTAACGCTTTGACGTTTTCAAGTTTTTACTAACTTAAATATCTATTTGTATTTGGTTTTTATAGCTCTGCACTGGTTTTTGTATTAACATTTATTTTTAAGAACAATACTTTTAAAGACAGTCTCTGTTTATACACATTGGTTTCATTTAACTTATGTCCGCATATATATATATATATATTTATATATATATATATATATTTATTTATATACGTATATGTCTCTCATACATATTTCTGTCATTCATAATACACCTAAAATGTTTTTTATCAAACCACATTTGTTTTATGCAGAAATTGATTTTATTTAAATGTATTGTAGTTTCTCAACAAGTTAATATGGAAATATAGATTATTTAATATTTTTAGTATATAATAAAGATAATTGCTTAATTCAAGCTTCTGTAAGCGAGTCAGAGTTCAGACTTTTCTAGATTCCGATTCAGACTTTTAAAAATTTAACAGACTCTTAACTTTTATTAATTCAACTTCAGATCTTAAATATTTCAATTTGCTCAAGACTTTAACTTATATAATAGCTAATAGGAACTACTTATATAATAATAATTAATTTTAATATTTTCAAATTTTAACACAGTTTTCTTTGTATAGTTTTTTTTTTGATTTTTTGATAGAACAGATATTTAATATAGATAATAGTTATAGTTATAGGCTATACTAATAAACTACTTAGTTATAAAAACTCAAAAAGCAGTTAAATAGTAACAAAATTCTCGTTTCCCTTAGTTTTGCATGAAAAGTCAGTCTAAAGTTTCGCTTAATGTTTAAAGAACCCAATATATAATGCATGTCTATATGTTTCTCGTTTAACGTCAATGTCTGTTAGTGTTTTGTAAAGTGGAGCCGTTGAGCCTTTATGAAGTTAGTTGAACCAAGTCACAGCTACCACAAATACATGCCACACAAACACCTCAATTGATCTCGCATTGGTCCACTCGAAGCTCACAGTTCACAGTTCACAATTTTGTTCACTATGCACACGATAAAAGCTAAATTTAACAAAAAAAAAAAAAATAACTAAAGAAACATAAAACACGCTGCAATTTCTTTCATTGGAATGTCGCTCATCACACTCATTAAGTTGTTGCCGTCTTTTGTCTTTTGTCTTCTCCCCTGTTGCGCGCGCTCAATTTTTCCATTAACTATTCCAAAACCAATAAAAACATTGACTCAAATGAATGAAAATGAATGTGCATAAATGAAATCGACCAAAATAAAAATATCGATGTGCAGATCCAGTGCAGGGCAGCCAAAGCATCGTCAGCAAATTATTTACCACCAACAATATAAGTTTAAACAACCCCAACATTATGATGATTGTCGCGATTATCGTAGACTGCTGATCCAGCTGGAGGAAACTGAGCGTCGCTTCGACGAGTTCTGGCGGACGCATCGCAACCGTCTGGAGCAATGCCTGCTTCTGCGCATGTTCGAGCAGGACTTCCGGGAGCTGCAAGTGAGTTGTGATCAAATCAACTTTGAGCTTTGTAGGCTAATCCAATTATCGATCTTGCAGAATATCTTCGATGGGCATCTCAAGACGGTGGCGGACATGACGGAGATTGGCGAGAGCGTGGAACGCGTTGCGACGCTCGTTCAGGAGACGGAACAGTTCTGCAAGCTAATTAAAGCGGACGTCGAGCGAGCTGAAGAGGCTATTCAAGCTGGACAGCAGCTGATTGGCTCTCGTGGCGTCTACCCCTGGGAGATTGTGCAGCCCAAGTGCGATGAGCTGCAGCGCGTCTGCGACATAATCAACATGCGTCTGACTAAGCGGCTTGAAATTCTGGCCAAGAACAGCGAGCTTATGGAGAGAGTTGAAAAGGTAGCCAGGCTCGGGTCAATGTATTTGAATGTTTAATTAGCTGTGACTCACCTTTCACGCAGGCTAATCAATGGTGTGCCAATGGTGTGGAGCTCTTGGCCTCACAGCGCATCGAGAAGTGTTCCGTGTCGGCCGATCTAGCCGAGCAGAGCCTGCACGAAATCCAGGCTTTCATAGCATCCGCTTCAGATTTCAAATTATCTAGTCCAAGTGAATTCAAGAAAATCTTTCTGGATAGCACGACACCGGAGACCAAAGCACTCGTATCTCAGGTGAGTGCATAGAAAGAACTCTGATGAAAAGGGATTGTTAAATGTGTTTAATTATAAATAATGAATATGAATATGAGTATATGAATATATGAATATAATTATGTATTTATATATATTTTATATTGTATAGAGAATAAGGTTTCTGTATGAGATATTGTGAGAACTACTTGGATGTAGTTGTGGACTGAGTTGAGTTGGCAGTTACCTAAGGAGATGTTCATATGCCCCTTATATATAGTTTGTTATACTTTTAGCTTTGATCTTTGAGAAATATTACTGCATTATTTTTACTGTGATATTAAAACAGTTGAAGCTGATCAGATTTATTTTTGGTTTAGCGTCTGGTGTGTTTGTTCATCTTTGAATATAAGACATGTCTCTATTGATGTAAAAAGTCTACACTTCATATTTAGAATACCAGCGATGCTCCTCATAAAATCTACTACTGTCTCTACTTCCTTGTCTTCCTCTTTATCTGTTTCTTCATCTACGAGATTGGTTAGACAGACATCGCAAGTCTTAGTATCTTGAATACAAATAATAAGTATTCCACTGAGCACAAGCCCATAGCACACGTCAACTGTAGAACATTTGTTCTTCTATATTATGTATATAATTTAAATGAAAAAGTAATTTGTTTAAACCACAAGTTTATGCACATGCAGTCTTTATATAAGCCTAGGCCATTGGCTGTTTATCTCAGCTGCTTTTCGTCAAGACATTTCTTAGAAATCCTTTTTGCTCTTAGTCAAATTCTTTCAATTTAAATTATAAAATAAAAATTGCCTTTAAATTTAAATAAATAAAAATATAACTATTTATTGTTTATTTAATTTTAATTTAATGACTTTTTTATTTTAAATAAAATACAAAAAATTACAATTTTAATTGAATCAACAAACTTAAGCTAAATGGATATAACCAAAATATTTAGCACGTCTTTGGAATCAGTTAATGATAAACAAAGCAAATTTTCCCTTTTAGCAAAATTTGATTTGTTTGCATATTCATTTATTGATTTAAATATTCATTAACATCTGGTTAGCAATCGAATGTGTCACAATATTTTAAGTTTTTTCTTTATATTAAAAATAGTCGTCGGATCATGCTGTAATAGATTTGCCATATAAATCAGATCTCTTACGTTGATTTAATAATTTTATACCTATTAGCAGAGCAACTCGTACGCCCATAGAGGGAGCACAGCTCGCGGTGTTCACATTGTGATTGCGATTGTGATATAATTCAGAGACAGGTTCTGCTGTCTTCGACTGTTGGCAGTTGCTTCTGCAGTTGGCTGAGTTGAGTTGGTTGAGTGTGCGTTGTACAGTTAGATAACAGCGCTTGCCATTGGAATGGGGCATTCTTCGGTGTTGCAACCAACATAATGTGCATTTAATGCTACAAATGGTATCAATCAACCGGTTTCTGTCGCCAGCTGAGGCAAGTGCCGAGGGCAATTGTGGACGCAAACATAAAGCATAAACAATTTCCAAGTAGGCGTTGCGGCATATAGAATTGTATGCATCGCCATGAGAACTGAGACTGATTTCATAAATGAAAAGTATTTTAGAATGTTACAATTTAAATCTATATTTTAATGTCATCTTTTGGGTTTGGTGTGAGTATTTCTTCAAGTCAAGTTAAGAAGTCTTATAACTAGGAAGTCTGTGAGTTACCGGAAAAGCTTAATATTTTGTCTTGGCCAAATTCTCTATATAAAATATTTCCATTAATAATATATTACAAAGCTATCCCAATTAAGCTAGTCTGTCAAACTTGTGCGAATATTTCCATCATACAAGATGACGATGCAACATTCAACTTAGCATCGAACATGCTCGATGGCAAGAATCGTAACATTAAAGAATATGTTATGTTAGGCATGCATGCACATTTGCAAAGCCACTCTTATACTATTACATGTTAAGCTATTTGATCTTATACACAACTACTAATAGGCATTAAGGAGCTTATTCAGCATGCATGCACATGTGATAAGCCACTCTTAAACTTGTACATTTCATGTGGTTGAAGGCGTAATATTAAAGAACATGATAAGCATGCATGCACAAGAGTAAATCCGCTCTTATACTTTTACACTTCATGTGATTTGGTCTTATACTGTCTAGCTGTAGCACGCAAATATCAACGCAGATTTATAATTGATGCCTTTTCATGCGCTCCAGACCCAAAGTAACATAGTGACCCATTTCTATGGGTTCACGCAAGAGTCCAGTTGGTATTTTTGGTTAGGCATTTATTCATTTAAAGCAATCAGTAAAAAGATGTCGCGGCACATGCACGAAATGGGTCAGCAAGACCCGTTTCGGCCGATGCCGCGGGAATATTCTTATGGCATTTACGTTTTGCGCATTTGTATCTGTTTAATGACTTTGGCACAGTTCAGAGTTCTGCGCTGGACCGCTTTCATTCCAGTCTCGGCCAAGTCACGTTTGACCAGTTGGCCAACTGGATATCCTTGCGATTGCATTCTAGTTGGCCATCAGACCAAAACTACTGTCTAAACCATATATAAACGTTAACTATTAAATCATGTGCGATGTGCTAACACAAGTTCTATCGAAGTTGCATCACAGAAATTCCAATTTTCTTTTATCGATTGAAATGCTTACGTATAAGTAGTATAAGTTCATCTTAGTATAAGTGTAGTAAGTATAAGCAAAATTGTAATTATCAGCGTGATCTGTTCTTGGGCAACATGTTATTCATGCAGACTGCAAAATAAATTAACATAACTCATTAACAGAACTCTGCTAAATATTTCAAATCCATTTACATGACTTATTTACAGAGCTCTGCTAAATGCTTTTATTATTTATAATAACGTCTAAATAATGAAAATGCTAAGGAATTTTAATTTCAAATTGCTATTATTTAGAAAATTGAAGATATATGACCTTTGGCTAAGACAATTTAATATTTGAGTCGAGTACATGAGGCCTAAGTTACGTTGTTGAAGGCTACTATCAATTACTGCGTCTTTCATATAGTTAATTGTTTATTTGAATGTGTAATTGTTTGCATTTTGAGCATACGATGCGCTACTCCAATCAGGCAGATTCCCAAACTAATCACGAACGCTGAATTTAGTTGACAGCCGACGTCGTTTGCTGGCCATCATCAAAATTTCAATTTGACTCTGCCTCAGCGCAGATATTCGTGCATCAAGGCGCTAATGGAGTTCGTTCACTGACGCTAAGAGCGTGGGCGCCGACTCCTGCAAAGGTCAATGGTAGTCGATGTCGCAACTGGTCGAGCGAGCAGGCAACAAAAATAAAAAATATTCAATTTTTTAGAGTTGTCAAAGAGCATTTAAAATGACTGGAAAGTGTTACTAAATTTTTGTAAATATTTTTAAAATATTTAATTGACTTTAGGTGAAATATAAAATATTTCTAAATATATAAATATTAAATATATATTGTCTCAACTTGCACTTTTCTTGTTAAAGTTGTCTTAGTTATGTAAATTGTGAAAATGCAACGAAGCTTTGAGCGCGACAACCCTGAAATCTTCATGTCCAGCCACAATTTATGCTTGCACAAGCCACATAAATAACATTTTAGTACATTACAAAATAACTTTGGTTAGAGCATTGGCAGCAGCAGCAGCAGCAGCAGCTGCATTGTATCATTTTATCAACTGTGCAGCTTGAATGGACTTTCGCAGTAGGCAACATAACTGGTAAATGGAAACCCAAGATGCATGTTGAAGATGCGCCAAACTCTAGTTGACAATAAGACAACAACAGCAGCAACAACAACACAGACTCCCAGACGCGTCGGAAGCAAAAGTGAAAGCGGCAATTGAACCGCTGTCCGCGTCCATTATGTAAAATGTCAAAAGGTCATGACATCGCCAAATGCCTCTTGTCCTCCAGGTGCATTTCAATTACGCAATCGCCGATTGCCAATTGGCAATTGATAAACATGTGCCTAAGCAAGTGCCAAACCTCTGGCCGCTATAAGCTTATATAAGCTATTAACAGACTCTGGCTTAACCTCAGACTTGATAATACCCATTGCATAGATTGAACTTTGACTGTATTTAGATAGCTTTTTTTTTATTTGAGATATTGCTGATTGCTTCTACTGCTTTCTACAAAGTCCTCTATGAGCATAGCCCAATACCTTTTACGCTCTATCAGGCCAGAATCAGCTATATATATATTTATATCTCTTCAAAATACCACAAATATGCTCTCTTTCACTGTGTGAGCGAGCATTAGGCTGCGAAACTGCTGCACTTTTGTTTTGGCCCAAATTCAATTGTTCAATGCCCGTGCCGCAACACCTGCTGCAACGCCTCACTCACCTGGGCGAACTTCACTTTGCTTTCGTGCTCATTTCAGTTTACCAAGGAGAAATCACGTGAGAATACCACTAAATTCTCCTACATTATAAGGCACATTGTCAGGCTATATTTATTATGCCATAAGTATTTGTGGATCGAGCAGAGGTAGGTGAGAAGTGTGTGTAGGTGCGTGTGTGTGTGTGTGTTTAGATGATAATCATATAAAACACAAATGCAAATGGCAATAACTGTCTACCAAGTGATGGGAATACCTATAATGGAAGCTGGCATAAACTCTTTAAAATATATGAAATTATTAGAAATTATATTGAATATATGCAATAGCTTAAACTTGTATTTGCCATAAAAATTAATAGATAAACTAAACTAAACTTAAGTCTAGTCTAGCCCCAAGTATCTGACTTGAGCATGCTCCAAAATTAGGCAAAGGCACAGATCAGACTCCTCATCTAAGCAACTCTCTATAGAAACTATCTTGATGCAGTCTTTAGCCATTTCTTCTGAATAGTTGCAACTTGAACTTGATGAGTTGATAAGTTGATCTAGCCAAATTAGCCCTGTCCATTCGTAGTAAGTCAGTAAACTCGTAGCTACAAAATTCAGATGCTTTGCTATACTTTGAATCACTTCGATTATCAATTTTCCATTCGTTTGCCCAACTCGAGATTTAAGAATCGATTTCGTTTAAATGGAAGAAAGTAATTCGAATTGAGCTCAGCTGGAAGATGCTTGCAGCTTATTCTTATGCAGCGCTGCCCTCTCTTATTATCTAATGCTTGGCTACAGCTTAAATTAAGATCACCCATTTCTGGGCCACTTAACACTTTCTCTTCGCAGACGTCGTTCTAAGCGTTAGACTCATTTCATCTCGAACAATACGCACAAGATGTCACAAACTTGAGAGTAAAGTCGTTTTTCTTTGGCTTGAATGGAATGAATCGTATGAACGACAATAGTCGACTTAGCGTTCCATAATACAATTGTCAGCGTTGACTTCGATTGGGCGTCTATGTAGATCAGGCGACTTTCCAAACGTTGCAAGAATTTGGAGAGAAATCTAGAAATTCGTCATTGAAGAAACATTGTTCTGACTAGTTAACAGTTATGAAGGGCTCAATATTAATTCGTTTGAATTGTGTTGCAGGTTCTGCAGCGCATCGATGATGTCTCCTTGATGTGCGACAAGCGCATTGCGAGCCTCAAGAAGCTGGCGCTGAAGCCACCGCGTCCTGTGCAACAGGTGACGCCCGAGCCAGCCGTGCCGCTGCAGCCGCCCGGCGGAGCGCCCCATCTGTTGCGACGTAAACAAAATAAGGTAAGTCCAGGCCTTAAATATTTTAACTCGTTTTATTAAATATATAACTGCCTGAAGTCGCAAAATCTGCATTTGTTGCTCTATTTGCTATGAGATTTCTGCTAAGATCTTTGAGAAGGAAAAGTCTATAATATAATGCTCATTTTAAATAAATATATTTATAACACATTTTTACTAGTGAGAAAAATGTTTTAAAATTTTTTTAAATTTTGGTTTTTATGATTTGTTGAAAGTTGATTTTAATTGAAATAAATAAACTAGTAATATTTTTTATGAGTTGATTAAAGTTCGACAACATCAATGACTGCTATGCCGCCGCTTAAAATAACTTTATAATAAATAAAAAAATAAATCAAATAATACAAAAATAGAAAATAACATATAGAAAATTCTCGCACAAAAACCATTTACCGCTTATAGACTTCAAGAATTAATGCTTTAAAGTAGACAGAAAAAGCAGCATTCTGCTATTATTGTCTAAACATCAATCAATCAGTCAGTCAGTCACTCAGTCACGCAGTCATGACTAACAAAAATTTACATAGATTCAGTTAATTGATTTTTGTTAACAATGCCGGGCCAATGACTCAACTGGATTTTGAGCGCATTCAGTTGGCCCAATCAGCTGTGATCTTGCAGTGGGTAAATGAAAAATGTGAAAATAATTGAAAATTATGAGCGGTTTATTAACCACTGAGCCACTAAATATGCGTTGCGTATTTTTGCATTCTTAATTCAACAAAGACAGCAGGAGGCGAGAGGCGTGAGGCAAGAGGCGAGCGCGTTTTCTCGCTTTTGTTTAAGTTTTCTTTTCATGCAATATACCCACTACAAAATAAGAGTGAAGGGTATGCTGCAATGAGGTAAGGCCTTAGACTTAGACTTGAATTGGCATAGATCTAGATCTTGATCTTGAAACTATAAAAAGTGTTTTCTAGCCGCGAGATCAACTAAGTGTGTGGGCAGGGCATCTCATAGTCAAGCATACCCCACTGTAGCCACTCTTACTTGCTGGCTTTAGATTTGTAGTACAAATTTCAAGTTCATTGTGCAAAATTCACACGATGCTCTTGTGTTTTTATTATTATCTATATCTGTACAAAAGATTCAGGCCCGCGACTGGGTTCCAATTGTTGCAGCGACGACGCCATAAAGCAGCCCAACAAAGGCCGCAGGCGAAACAAAGCCAGCGACGACGCTCTACCCTGCTATGATAAGGCAAATGCCAACCGCAAGTTTCACTTTTGCTGGCCGCGCAAATCGTAGATTACCACGCCGACCCACAGCTGGAGGCGAGCTAAGTATGAGTGGCTGGCCCATCCATCGTATGGCTGCTGACCGTCGTCCGCCTGCCGAAATTTCATAATTACCTTCCGAGACAAATTAGTGCAGACGACGCATAATTGAGTCGGACGCTCAGTGTCGTTTACCATTTCTGACTGCTTTTAATGACCTGTGGGGGTACCAGAAACATTTACCTCAAACCATTAGCCGAGTCTTTCGCCCCGAGCGCGGGCAAAGGCTTATGAGATCGTTCAGCTGGGCAGAACTATTATATATAATCATATAGTATGATCTGCTGCTCTCACTTATCTCTGCATACTTATCTAAACTTATTCTGATCTCTAAATTGATCTTTTTTCTAACTGTTCCAACTGCAACGCAGAGACTAGCCCCTGTGGTCAGCTGTGATTAGAGGCCATAGTTACAGAGTTATAGATAGATAATATCTGCAGTTACTCGCAGGTTTAGAATTGCATATTAAACATTTCCGCTGGGCAGCAAAAAAAGAAATAGAAAAGAAATTTGCAATTCTGCAATTGAATAAAAGCAAAGATAAAGCAATTTTCATAAGTGCAAAGCGCTTTTCTCGCTCGAATTACAGCTAACTGTGCAGATTCCCGTTGCATCTAATTTCCTCAGAGCACTTTTCACTTGGCATTCGCAAGTCGAGCCAACGGATGAACGGATGTCGATGCTGCTGCCCTGCAGTCTAAGTGATTTCATCATAGAAACAATTATTGACTGAGAAGCAGGCACAAAATAAGCAGAGAAAATATGTAAGAAAAAAATAAATAAAATAAAAATATATAAAAATACACTAAACAAAATAATTTAAAATAAATACATATAAATAAATAAATAAATAAAATAATATATTTTCAAATATATTACATATAATATTAATATTTTTTTATATAACAATTGCATAATGAAAGAAGTTATTGGAAAACTCTTTTAGTTGACGAAAGATAATATTTGATTTAATTTAACATTTGAATAGATTCAACTTTCATTAGAATAAATATATATTAGAAAATTATTTAATATTCCAATGAGTCGAAAATTTAAGTGAAATTGTTTATGCGCACTTGAAAATAAAAACTTTTTATAGAAATTTTCAAAAAATTTTTATTTACATTTTTTTATAAAGAATTGCAATACAAACAATATTTTGATTGTTTAATATATGCAATATGTACCATTAATTATATAATAAATTTATTTTTAAAATTATATTTATTAAGTATTTATATTAAAATTATATTTTTATATATTTATTTATATATATTATATTTATTAAATATTTATTTATTTATATTATTATTTTAAAATTATATTTATTAAGCATTTTAAATAAAATTATATTTTATATTATTATTATTATTTATTATTTATTATTTTAATTTTATTGAATATATTTTTATTAAATATTTAAATATTTATTTCTATTATTATATTTAAATTATATTTATTATATATTTATAATGACATATTTAGCAATGCTTTTTAATTATATTCTATAGCTATTCAGCTCTGATCTTAACCTATAACTCAGCTCTGCTTTAGCCAATTCTAAAGCAAATTCATGTTGAGTTGTGACAAGCTTACTTATGGGTCAAGCGACCCCATTTGCTTCGACATTGACCAACTTTGTTTATTTGTTAATTTAAATGCGTGCGTTAAATACCTTAACAAAAAAGGTTTTTGATTAGGTAATTTATGAAAATTTCAATATGTGGGCGTCTTCTGCTAGAAGAAGAAGCAGACGCGTTTCTTTGGTGCGTGGCTCGAATTGGTGTCAGTTTGAAGCAGGCAAACTTTTTGCTGACTGCGAAAATGCAATTTGGCTTTGCCGACAGCGGCCTGTGGCAACCGCGATCTTTACTCGCTGTCCGCATGATTGATGTCCGTTAACTGTGGCTGTGGCTGTGGCTGTGGTTGTGACTGTGTCTATTGTCTCTGCTTGGCTTATTTTCATCTGGTTTTTTGTGTACGAATAGAAAACATGCATTGCCCCAGCGACCCGTTCTTATTGTACGAGAGACCCTAATGCACTTCATCTAAGCATGTGGGCTATACTAATGGGTATATCAGGGTGTTTACATATATATACAGTCACAGCTTGGCAATCTTTTATTTTTTGCATTGCATCTGAGTCTTGTGATTTAGCTGCTGCGATTTCTCCTGCACAGGTGTCCATTAAGCAACCAATCGAAAGTCTTTTTACCTCTGCAGTCGGTTTCTAATTGTTTCTCTCTCTGTTTTTTGTTGATCAGCTTAAATCGAATGCAATAATGCGTCATGTCAAACAATGGCTGTTGTCTCTGCTGCCCAAAATGGGCGAATAATGAGGCACAGAGGGTAGCTTAGCTCCGTGCCCCTCCTCCGCCCGTCCAGGTGCTGGCTGCGCTTGTTGCAATCGAAGCTTTTCCATAATTAAATAATTAATCGTCATTTTATTAGGCCCGTGCATAAGCTATGCGCTCTTTCACTTTCACATTTGTTTACGCGTCTAAGCATGTACACACACACACACACACACACACACACATACACACACACACACATACATATACATATACATATTTTTATATAGATTTCATGCAAGTATGTGAGATATTAAAAAATTATGAGACGCGATGCCAATTGAATGTGTCGCCGCAACGTGTCGCGTCGCGTCGCGTTGTGCAAAGTGAAATATTTTTTGTTTTTATTATGGCTGAGGCATTGTCAAAGCAACGCACGTAAGGTTAAGTAAGTGCCGCAAGCAGCCCGTGGCAAGCGCTGTGGCACGCATCTGCGGGCTGCCAAATACGTTTGCAGTCCGCGGGTCTTTTCACCAGCTGCCTCACAATTGCACTTTTGTCTGCTATGGCTACACTATGAACCAATTAGTGCGGGGCAAAAACAGGCAGCGAAATTTGCATGCAGCGCACTGAACTTGTAAGGGGCCCGCAGTAGCCCAGTCAACGCGCTTGCCACATTTTCTCAGCATTTCAGTTACTTTAGATACCCTGTATATATTATGAATGCTTAAGGAAAGAGGTGTAATAGGTAAACAGGCAAGACTGAGGAGAGACAGAGAGCGGAAGAGAGCCAAAAGGCAGTTTATTCATAGACTTTGCAAATTAGTTGATATAGAATTTAATATTAATGCTGTTTAACAATGAATATTATTATATGCACAGCTATTAATGTACAAAATAAATAAACAAAATAAAGCAGCTTTTGGGAGCTGAGCATATGAAGTCCTGACTGTTGAGCTCCTCTGCAAATTGACTTAAATTATTCGTGACTTGACTCTATTGGAAAATATAAATTTTTAAATTAATTTAGCTATTAGCAAAGTGTATTATGTAGGCGGTTGAACAGATTTCAATAGTTGACTAACTCACTTAAGAGAAGTAGCTTCAAGTCCCAATAAGGCAAATAAAATTATTTTTTCTAGCAATGCCAATAGTTAATAATTTATTATAAATAAGAATAATAATGATATATAATATTTATAAAAATAATTAAAATATAAGATAAGTAAATATTTATTTTTATAAATAATAAATTAAATATAAATAATAAAAACATAATAAATCAAAAATAAAAATGTAAAAAATTAAAAATAAAAATAAATAAAAATAAATAAAAATAAAAAAAAGTAAAAAAAAATTAAAAAAAAAAATAAAAAAAATTAAAAAAAAAATAAAAAAAATTTAAAAAAAAAAATAAAAAAATTAAAAAAAAATAAAAAAATTAAAAAAAAATTAAAAGCTTAAAATAAAAATGTAACAAAAAAAATAAATATAAATAATAAATAAATAATATATATAAACCTAATTAAATATGAATAGTAAATTAATAAAAACACCTTTTACAGAGTACAGAGTATCTTATAGTCGTGTATAACAGTCTCATTCTAATAAGTTAGGATTCGGTCTGCGGGTCAAAGAACAGTGTTGGATGCACTCGTTCCTTGAGAAGAAGCGATTCAAGTTGCCGCCACAGGCGGAATAGTCGAAGGGTTGGCAGCGCCTGCTGTACCTGTTGAAGTACCACATCCGGATATGGGAGCGGCACGTGCCATACTCGGGCAGCTGGCTGCAAGCGTCTGCAAGAGAGCAAAGTGGTGTCTGCTAGGATCTGCCTGGAACTGATCATAAGGCACTCGTCACTCACCACTGCCTTCGTCTCTGTTGGGCCAATCGGCGACAGCCAAAGCCGTCAGCAACAGCAGCAGCCAGAAACAGGACATTTCGAGTTTAAGTTCCCTTTTCTCTTAGCCAAATAATAGTATTCGTTAAACTGATAGATTTCAGCCAGAAGCCGTTGCATTTTATAGCCATGCATTGAGTCGGCTGTCATTAGTCACGTTGCAAAGTGCTTAGTGTGCCTAAATAGAGTCTTAATTTGAGAACTTAAAGTTCTTTAAGCGACTGCTAATCTCTCAATCGACCACGTCAGAGCTTGAGTAATTCAAGCTTTGCATTTCACTTTCTCTACAGCTTGAGGCCGCAAAGCACATGCAAATCCGAATCCGAATCCGAATTCGAGCTCGAATTTATATCTTTCAACGAACATTTTCGACAACAATTTCTAAAAGAAAAACAAAACGAAAAACATGCAACACGCTGCGCATGTCAATCAAAGATCACGTCAGTCGAGTGCCGAAAGTAATTGACTCCTCCGTGCTCACGCCCCTTGCAGCCGAGAATTTCCATGGAACGCATTCACATTCAGTGCATTGTGTGACCATGTCCAAGGCCTCGGCCACAGGCAGTCACAAAATTCCACACTCGAGGAGCGGCCAGGGGCTCTGACAGCTCTGACTAGCTCTGACAGTCTCTAACAGTTCATTGCACCAGTGCGCAGCAACTAAATCGTATCTGTGAGATACGCAGGTAATAATTTGTATCTAGTCTGCTTTTTGTTTTATTGATACTCTGTACTTGGAGTATAGTTCTTTGGTGGAAATGCATGTAACAGGCCCAAGAAGACGTAGCAGACCCCATGAAGCCGACTCCATCTAATCATGTCGAATTGTGCTGTGATCTTGGAGCTGGTGACTTGACGATATCTTAACTTTTTTTATAATGGTTAAGCATCGAACAGTTGACCATAAAAACTATCGATCATTTGACTTGCGAAAACTAGGCACTAAGGAGACTCCAACTATAGATACCTTGAATACCTCCACCTGCTTCTACTATTAGTTCAAGAACCGAAGTACTTATCCATAGTGCGTGGATGTGCCTGTGTTTCAGTGCATTTATTTATATAGATGTTTTATTGGCTTTCAAACAGCAACTCTGCACAGTCAGGGTAACTCATAGTCGTATACTTCCAACTAAAGCAGTTTTATTTGTGTTTTTATTATTTTGGGATCACGTACATTGGCTAGGCCATTAAAGCTCGGTGAAGTAAAAAAGAAATATATATATATATACATATATATATATATATATATATATTTTTTTTTTTATTTCGTTTTTCTTAAGAGCATAATTCGCAGCAGCGAAGCTGAGAACTTTCACGCTACTTCCGCATGTCGTTTGGTCGGCGACATCTCTGAAGATCGCTGCGCGTTGGCCCTTTGCAGTGAAACTAAACATTAAAATGTGCCGTCTTAGATCAGCCCGGCGATAGAGTACCTTTCGTATCTGTGCTGCGCTACATAGAGTGAAATCTTCTGATGCCGCTGATTGCAAAATGTTGCGCAAACAGATTTTGCAACAGCAGCTGTTATGTGTGCTACGCGGCGCCATTCTACGCCGCGTACTTGTCTGTCAGCATTTCGAAAAAGAATGTTATGAGAGCCATGCTGATGCCCAATACCCAGACAAGCAAGATGCCAACGAAGTTGGACATGCCCAGCATGACCGGCTCAGTGTCTATGTCGTCTTGGCCGCCGCCTAGCATTGTGCTCTCGACCAGTTGCTGGATCTTCAGGTTGAGATTATCGGCCACAACTCGGTACTCCCAGTACTTGTCGAAGCCGGACGAGTGCCAGCGATAGACCAGTTCATTGAAGCGCTCCAGCAGCGGCCAGAGTCGCGGCACAAAGGCCACCGTATACTGATAGTAGAGATCCTCCTGCATGATCACCATGTGCTCAATGGCCTGCTCCGTTAGATAGTCGCCAATGGCGAAGTGACCTAAGAATAAAGGAAGTTTTGAATTGGGAATCAGGCATAAGAAATGTGAAAGGCAATTTCCATTTAGCTACCAAAGGGCAAGCGCTCCACGGGGAATCCCATGTGCTTGCCCTGCGCAAGCTCCATTAATTGATCGTCGCTGTAGATGACAAAGTTGTCCAGCAGCTCGTTCATCAGTGGCTAGAATTGAGTGCTTAAGGAAATTTGACCTGGGATATGCTCTGGTGCCACTCACATCATCAGTGCCACGAATCGATGACACCCACGCCTCTGAGTTGGCTGCCCACTGCAGCCGCTGGGCACGCATGCGTTGCATTGTGTCCGCTGCCTCGTCCAGGCTGGGTATGGTCAGTATGCTGGCCAGACCGCCGCCGTAGATGCTCGTAATGATGATGTCGTTGAGGAAGCAGGCGAAGAGCAGCACGCGCACCGTTACAGAACGCACGTTGCTGTTGCCCGCCTGCGAGATGAAGAGCTTGAAGGTCGTAACCAGGCCGAACTTTGTGCTGCGCCACCAGCCACCTCTGGCGGCAGTCGCAGCGAACAGCTGCTGCTCGCTTCTGTGCGCCAGCACCAGGCCGAACGTCTCGATGCTCAGGCAGAACAGCACAGCGGCCCAGAGGGTGGCCTGAAAGGGCTGCAAGGGCAGATACCAGCTGGCGAGACGCATTGGCGCTGGCACCAGGCACGTAATGCCCGAGCGCACCAGATACATGGACAGGTCCAGATAGGTGTAGTCATCGTACCACGAGTACATCGCGCCAATGCATATGTCCGACTTATGCCCGATAATCATGCCCAAGGCGCCGTCGCCCGACATATTCGGATAGATGTTGCCCCAGTCATCGGCGTCAGCTAGGCACAGAGTATTGTATCTCCGATAGATCTAGATTCGAAGTCTACTTACACGTGTCGATCTGCACCGTGCAATTGAATTGGGCACAGAAGCTGAGCACCACCTGGGTCTCAGTGCCATCGATGTGGACTCTGGACAAGCTCGAATTCTCGGCAACTGCCAAATCTCGCGCATTGCTCTGACTGTTCTACACGATTAGATCGCACAATTAGTTCGGCATTCCCGAATGGCGAAACACTCACATATTTGATGACTGTGTAGGGCCTGTAGTCAAAGCCGGCAACGATCAGTTCGCGTCCTTGCAAATCGCTTAGTTTATCCGGAAACAGAGAAGCATTAAGCTGGAACCGCTTCAACCGGGCATCATAGCGATCTAGCAGGATGAGTTGCTCTGGCCTCCCCGCTCTGGGTCCCACATATTTGTTTGTTTTCAGCTCAAAGTCTGTGGCATTCGCATGACCTCGCAGCACAAACAGTATGTTGGGCTGGTCTGAAAATTTGCCTTTTTGCAGTTAAATTTGCCAATTCAAAATTTGATATTTACCCTGAAAAAAGTAGCTGCGACAACAAGTTGCCTCATCCAGCTCCTGTGCCACATGGGCGAACACAAATTTGTTGTGTAACGAGCGCCAGATAGAGTACATAGAAGCCTGTGCGAAGGCGGCCACGAAGCGGGCCATAAGCTGCCCGAAGATCAGAAAACTCTGTGGAATAGAGAAAAGTCAAAGGAGGAAAAGTCTTTTTAGCTGCGTTCCCACCTCGCAGTGTGAGCTTTCAATGGATAGCGTCAGCTTGAGCACCAAATCCTCATAGTTAAGTCCGAGTTCCTTGAGCTGCTGTCTCTTGACTTCTGCGTCGATCACATTCCGCTCGAAGCTGCCTGCCAATCGGTCAATATTGATCGATACAAGGCTGGAGTAGTACCCAGCCGTGTGTTGCGGCTGAAACTCGTAATTCTCCTGCCAAAGCACACAAATCGTGCTGTTCTGCAAATAATCCTTAACTGAAGCCAGACAAAGGTTAACATGTAAATTAGATAAGTTATAGAAGCTGTCAGATATACATAGATATTTACTGATTAAGTTTAATATCAGCGTCCAGCCGCTGTCCATGGCTCTGTCTGTGGCCCTGGCTCTGACTTAACTGAATGGAATTGAATCGTTTGGGCCAACCCATTGCCAATTGGATAATTATTGGCATACAGAATTTGCATTGAAATTTGTTTGTTCATGTGCTCAAATTAAGCAATTTGCCAATTCGACTCTAAACAGCAACAAATTTGATTGGGTAATGAAAAGAATTTCTAGAATAAATATGGCAACTATATAACAGTAGATCTAACAATTCTAAATATTGACTAATATAAATATAAATATAAAATAATAAATATAAAATTAAAAAAATAAACTTGCAGTTGGGTGCCAACGACTGCTTAATACTCGTTCACATAGCCAAAAATAATTAAATTTTTTTGGAAAATCTCAAGAGAAAATCTGCAGCTAGTGAAGTTGATTTACTGGCTCAAAAATTTTAAATTAATATTAGTTATTTAAAATCGGATGCTTTACTTGCACAAACCAATATACGCCTTTCGCTTGCTGAACGAGTATTGTCTTTTTTATATAAATTTGTATAAAAATATCTTTTCATAAACTTCTAAATTCCCACTAAGCGTCAAAGCAAAGAATTTATTTTGAAATTATAAAAGAAAAAACTTTTAAAAAATTACTTAAATCATTTGAATTCCTAGCCCAAAGCCAAACAATTATATTTGCAGAGCTATTAAAGTGTATTCGGAAATACTTGAAGCAATTACATTTTAGAATCAATAAACGTTTTGTTGTTCAGCAATTTTATTTACGTTTGGAATGCAAGACAAATGCGAAATACGAAACGCGAACATAATTACAGATCTTGATAATCTAGGAAGATATCAAAGTTTTGTTTTCAGTTGCTTAAGCGAAATTGTAGCATTTTGAGCAGACAATGCGGAAATTAATAAAAAGCGAAATGCGTACAGCAGAGCCAAAGCCAGAGCCAGACTCAGTTCCACAGACACGAAGACAAAGAGTCGAAAGTTGTTGAAAAGAAAGAAATTTTAATTGATTTCAAACGAGAAATTAAATGCGGTAATACCGAAGCACAAATACGAACACGTGTAAGTAGCCATGTTAGCCCGAAAGTCTATTATCGAAGGGAAAACACTGCAAGCACTGCAAGGGTCAAGTCGGACGGATGGACGGACGCTCGCTCTCTGCCACTTTCTACGACTTGGGGCACTTACCGGCAGGCGGGGGCTGCCACTCCAAGCCCGAATCAGAGCGTGACACCTGCATTTGTTAAATGCTTGAGCTTGGCTCGAATCATGCAATCAAAGACGATTTCAATCTCATCTAAAGAAGTTTTTGAGCTCAAATTCTTGACTAAAAAAAATAAAAATCAAATTTACGAGTGAGACTTATGTTTAGCTGCTTAAAAGTTAATTTTAGTATAATTTTGTTATCTACGTGGGTTGGTAGTAGCAGGTGCTGCTTGAGTATTGCGTGCATCAGCTGCAGCCATGGCCTTTGCGCTTGTTACCAACTTTGCTGCTGGACTTCTTGCAGGCTAGAACTCTGGTCAATTCCAGGAATACTTTTCTGCTTTTTACTGTGTGATTTTTTAACGCTTTTATTTTGAGTTCCAACTGGTATATGAAGTCCCTCGTTGCGCTGCTCATGCTTGTCTAAGCACAGCAGGAAAAGCATGCCAGGCTGGTCCTTCTGCGAGTCACCTTCTAGACTCCAGAGCTTGCACAGATTAAGTAATTACCTCCACTTAAACCGAAATCTCTCGAAGTGATTGCTGTATAGAGTTCTATCCTATTATCATGGCGAAAGATCGCTGCTCATTTCAGTTGACAATTGAGTCGCTATGAAGGCTATGTGCCAACTTGAATTTATCCTTGCTAACAAGGACTTTCAGATGAGCAACGTCAAGTAATGTTGCCTTCTTTTTGTAACCTCATTCATCTAATAATAATAATAATAATATTAATAATAATAATAATAATAAAAATAATAATAATAATAATAATAATAATAATAATAATAATAATAATAATAAAAATAACAAAAATAATAAAAATAATAATAATAATAATAATAATAATAATAATAATAATAATAATAATAATAATAAAAATAATAATAAAAATAATTATAATAATAATAATAATAATAATAAAAATAATAATAAAAATAATAATAAAAATAATAAAAATAATAATAATAAAAATAATAATAATAATAAAAATAATAATAATAAAAATAATAATAATAAAAATAATAATAATAATAATAATAATAAAAATAATAAAAATAATTATAATAATAATAATAATAATAATAATAAAAATAATAATAAAAATAATAATAAAAATAATAAAAATAATAATAATAAAAATAATAATAATAATAAAAATAATAAAAATAATAATAATAAAAATAATAATAATAAAAATAATAATAATAATAATAATAATAATGATATTGACATAGATTTTTTACTCCAGTAAGTTTAGTGTCTAGTGCTGCACGTAGATCCGTTTAAGTTAGTGGATTTCGTTTTCTTTGCCTCATTCTTTGCCTATCCCTCAGCTATCCCTGTTAATAATAAAAGCAAAAAAAAATAAAAATATTATTTATAACCCTAAATGCAATAACTTCTATACAAACTGCGTATTAAGTTTAAATTTCTGGAATATTTTCCCATCTATAAATCATTTGTATTAGTCGAGACAAAAATGTTGTCTTCTTCTTCTGCTTTTATCTCTGATATTTGTTGAATTTTTGATATCAAACAAAAAAAAGAGGCGTTGACATAAAATACGTCAAATCATAAAAGTTTTTGTTAGTCTTAAAATTTCGTTTGTGGGTTTCGCAAAGTCCATTGTGCGGGAATTGCTTTCCTATTGTCGCGCAGCAGGTTTTTGGCTGACAAGTTCGGGTTTCATTAGCTTTGGCTTAGTGGCGACAATAAACTGATTTGGCCAAACAGAAGTTGACACAATTTTTCCATTGAGCGCTCATAATGTGTGTTCCATTCAGCTCTGGATTGGGGGCAATCAAGAGGCACAGCAGAGCTGAATAAGTTAAGCTCAGAACAGACGAAAATAGTTACGTATTAGCGGGTCAAGCGGAGATCCATTTATCTATATAGTGAAGATGATATCTGACTGAAGCTCTGTCTCGCTGTTTGCATATATGGCTAAGTGCTTTGCTCATTGAGTTGGCAGACGAAGCCTCAATCATAATTATCGAAACACTCAAATTAACAACAATAAACAAAAGAACGATCGTCACCATGGATCGGTGCCCAATTAGGTAATACCAATGTCAACTCCAGTAATCGAACGCAGCTCGTTTCGCTGGCCGATCAAGGCACTAGTCGAAGGTGTCGCTGATTGTGATTTGAGCCAACCTTGCGAAAGGTTTTTATCGATCTGAGCGTATCGCTGTCAACAATAATAATTATTTAGGGAATTATCAAAAATGTGTTCAGGTATAGCTATATTTCCTTACTTTACAAATGTATTCATTATTTTCAAGGAAAATAATATTGAAGAGAAAAAAAATGTTTTTAGGATAGAAATTTGAGATTGGGGTTATAGATCATATTCATTCAGCTCGGAAAATGTTTGAGCTGAACTAAAATGACTTTAATAACAATCTGAATTGGAAAAGAAAAAATTCAATAGTTGTAGGTATAGGATCTACGTATAAAATTTAAAATTTTAGGTTCTTAAAACTCCCGAGATCAAGAATGTTTCATATATGGATAGTAAGATAGGCAGACAGACAAAGGAACGGATGGGCAGACAAAAATACAGCCAAACAGAAGGACTGACGGACTGATGGATTGACAAGCAGACAGACAGACAGAGAGGCGGACCTTTGGTCGGGCGGACAGACATACGGACGGACGGATGGTCGATCGATCGGTCGGTCGATCGGTTGGACAGTCGGACAGAAAAACAGGCAGATCGACGATCGGATAGACAGAAATACAAACAAATGGAGGGACAGACAGAGAGTCGAATGTTGATACTGATCATTGCTGATCACTCGCACTGATCATAAGTACACTCACTACAAAATATATTATGAATTCCCATTTCCCAATAGTTGAAGATATCAAAATGGTTCAATCCAGTCTACCAAAATGGAAGTTGATATTTATAAAAAATATCATATTTAAAATTGAAATTAATTAAAAGAAATTCAAAGTTTTTTTTTATTTTTTAATTAAGATTTATTGTTAGGCTCGACTGTTCTTCATTCAATTAATCTTAAGATTGTCTGCGTGATACATATCAAATTATAAATTGTTGTGGAGCTCGCTTTGTATAGATCTGTGAACGTAGACTGAGGAACCATAAGTACGACGATCGTTATGGCGCATTTGTAGATTTGTAGATTAAGTGCCTGGTTAGAGCTGCACGGCGCATTAGGTTTTTCACTTTCGAGCCGGCGTCGGGGCTTTTCTTTCGTTGGGCCTAAATGTCAACGGCGCTGCGACGGCCAAATCGCGACTGCGTTTGGGCCATGATTGCCCGCAGCGCCGGCGATGAAATCATAAATTAATCTTGCGATGTGAGCCGAGAGCTGGGAGCTGCACAGATTCAGTTTAATGGAATTACATTTGCTTCGTATACAATACTTATTTGTTATGAGATCATTTCTCTGACTTTTTTTTTGTTTTCTGTTTTCTGTTTTTCTTCTTTTGCCTTTTTCGTTTTGCTTAATTTAATGAATGAAAAGTCGAAAAATTTCTTGCTGCACCGATTTCAGCCGCGTTTCACTTTTCATTGAACCCCCCGCCCAGTTTGGACATGGTTGACTGTTTGGGCCGTATTAGTTGTAATGTTTTGGAGCGTCCGACTCATGCGTAATCCTTTTGTGGGCGCTTGTCTTCCGTTTCACGTAATTGCACAAGCTGCGAACGCTGCCGATGCCGATGCCGGTGACGCCCAAAATAGCTAAAAAGACAACAGCAACAACAACAAGCCAAACCATTGCATGCTCTCGGCCATAAACGGATAAGCACGAACGTACGAATTAAGCTGTTCATT